TTTCGGGTACCGTCCGATCTCCCTAAAAGAAAAAAAAAACAAAACAAAACAAAACGACCACCAGTTTCAAAGCCCAGTCCGTACGACTGAAATATTATAACGCGCCGCGGTACCATTTCGAGCGAAACACCGTGCACGCGCGCATACACACAATAAATATACGAGTCCGAATTCGCGACTTCCGGTCCTTTGGACCGCGCGTCTGTCTCTCTCTCTATATATTACAATAAAACAATAAATACGTGTACCTATACCGTTACAATGTAAACCCAAAAGTCGCGTACGTTGTACTATAATACGATATATTTAGACATAAATACGTATATTTACATATTATTATAATGCCGTGTACGACGAGTGCGCCGGCCGTGGTGCACACGATTATAATAATATTGCGCGTGCCCGTGCAATACACGCACTCATATTTATGTATACATATATACATACAGGGTACCGTGGATCGTATAGATAAATCACGGGGCGATTATTTATGATGGAACGACGACGCTTCGGGCCGCGAGAGCAGAGAAACGCCGTAGCAGCTACGGCAGCGGCGGCAGTCTAGCCGCGGTATTAAATTTTAAGGTTATAAACTTCGGGCCGGGTCGTGTTTTCGGAACCCGGCCCGCGTTTCCGAAGCTCCGCGGCGAAAATTTACACGAATATATTATTATCGTTATTATTATTATTATTATATAATTATGTGCGCGTGTGTGTGTGCGCGTGTGTGCGCGTGTGTGTGTGCGCGTGTGTGTGCGCGCGTGTGTGTGCGCGCCGCGTACAGGAATACGAAGACCGCCGCGGTTCTCGTCCCGCCGCGGGTAACGGGGGCGACAACACAATGGGCGCGAGACGGTAGTAATTCTCCCAAACCGATATTGTGAGCGGCTATTGTTTGCCGGCCACAATTTGCATGATAAACAATACGCACTATATTATTATAATACGCGCCGCGAGTATTTCGGAGACGTTTTACCCGGGCGGTTTCTGCGCACTCATAATAATATTATACGAATTAATAATTATAATTATTGTAATTTAACGTTTATATTGTACGCGTACATCTGCGGACGACGGTAGTCCGTATACGCGAGCGTTGTTACGCGCGGGAACAACAATACGGATATAACCTAAGCCCCCACCCCCACCGCCGCCCCCACCCGCGTGTGCGCGTCACAAATCGCGACCGGCAATAATCACTATTCGTTTCAATAAAACGTCACATTGTTATTGTTTCGATCGCCGTGCCCGCGGTAAACGTGTACCGGACGTGGCGCGTATTTGTTGTCCGCGACGGCGTTCGTTACGACCCGACGGGGCCGCGTCGGTCCGCGGCGCCGTCCGCTGCCGCAGCGGCGCGGCCGACCGGTAAAGACGAGACCGCCTACGCGCGTAACCGGCGGCAATCTGTTCCGGAAGCAGTTTTTCCCGTGCCGGCAAATGCGATTTTCCAATACTTACCAGAACGCACCTATACCGCAGCAAAAACCGTGGATTAGCTGGTCGACAACGTAAACAAAACGTGACGCGCGGAACGCAAGGGCGCCCGTGTCCACGACATCAGTCAGTGGCGGTAGAGGCGAAGAACCCGAATTTCAATTGGAAATCAAAAACATTGTCCAATTAAAACCGATTGTGTTTGTTTAAAAAAAATAATCACCGTTACAGTTCAGTGCGTTTACAAAAAAGGTAATTTCCTACGGTATTTTATAATTCTTTGAAATCTAAGTGCGGGGGGAGAGGAGTGATCTACTTTTGTACGTATATTCTAATCGTTTCGGTATAATAATTAATATTCGTTTTTAATTATGTATTTTCAATGATAGTTATTAAAAGTTTTTCAAAATTGTATAATTCGTTATTTATACCGCTACGGCAGGGACTAAATTGTTGTGTGCTCAACACATTTTGTGTAACACGAAATATTAGGTGTGCGGTACGAAATTAAAAAGTTGAAAAACGCTATAATTGTATGATATTTATTTGTATAAGTTAAAAACAAGTAAAAACATTGGGAAAACCAAGAAAAACGGGAAAATCGGTACAATATTCAACAATTATAATTTAAAAAAATATATAATGTCTATTTAATTATTTTACCGTCATATAACATATATATATATATATATATATATATATATATATATATTATTAACAAAACATTACTATCAACTGAACTCTGCTCAGAATCGTTTTTCGTTAGCAATGGTTTATCGTTGCTTACATGTATACATTAAATTCCCTTCTGTATCCTACTTTCCCGACCTCCCACCCACAATAGTGGCTGCACCCATCCCCATTATTTTAGGACGGCTTTTTATCCTTGTATTATATATATGATATTACATAAATAAAAATATAAATTGAAATTAGTTTGCGAGCGGAACAAGCTAAGTTTTTTCGTTAATGTGCTGATCGAAAACGTCCCCCTTCCCTATCAAAATCTAAAAAGATATCATTAACGGAAGGGGAAATATATATGTGTGTGTGTGTGTGTGTGTGTATACACCGATCCGTTTAAGTGGGTACACTCATTATCTCAGAAAGTATTAACTTTTTCCGGAATTCATTTTCTAGAACATTAAAGAAACAAGCTGTTCTACAACTTTATATGTATGTTAATTTTTGTCACCCTTACTTTTGGGGGCAAAACCACTACATAGTTTTGATATTTGAAACTAATTGCACCACTACTCTCCTCCAATCCAAAAGTGGAATATCTCGTCAACAGATCGACGGAAATCAAAAATGTTAACACTAAAATTTATTTTAACTAATACTCAATCTATTTATGGATAGGCTGCCGTTTGAAAATCAAAAGTAGGTAGTGGTTTTACCCCCAAAAATAAGGGTGACAGGAATAAAATGAATATAAAATTTGTAGAGCAGCTTGTTTCTTAAATGTTCTAGAAAACGAATTCAGGAAAAAGTTAATACTTTCCGAGATAATGAGTTTACCCGCTTAAATGAATCACCTGGTGTATATGGTATGGATCGATATAAAGTCTGCAGTAAAAAAAAGTATATACTCGTATTTTAGTCTCTGCGCTACGGTATGGAAACAATGTAGATAGGTATGTTACGCATTATAATAAATAACCGTATTATTTCGAATGGTAAATGTGTAGTCTAGTTGTAGTGATTTATACAGAATTTAACGAAATTTGAATACGATTATCCTGACCAAGTTTATAATATATAACGCCAAGTTAGGTCTCATAATAATTATAATGATATTCCACTTGCTCGTGACATCTGCTAGTTATAACGGGTAAACAATTTAAAATAATATAATAATATGCAAACATGTTGCTCCAGGAAAACTTTCTTATTCCGGTGTGCTTGAATATATTTCATCAGTATTATGCATGATATTATCCACGTGCTAATCTCATTCCGAAACAAAATTCACTGATGAATTTTATTATTCCTCGAAAACGAATAGCTTTATTATTTTCACTTTGATAAACATATCGCGCATTGTATAATTTACTAGGAATCATTAAGTTACCGCCCCGCCTGCCAAATAGAAAATTTGAATTTTTCCCCATATGGTCGGGTTATCCGGTACAATAACGTTAGCTTATGCCGAATATTCCATAGTGAGTACTAATTCTGTTCCGAAGTTTTACCATTATCAAAACACTTCGCCTACCTGTAATATTTCGAAAAACTACTGGAAATCTAAAACAATTTTTAAAATGAATAACACCGGATGACAAATCTGCATATTTTAAAGTACTGCGTGAAAAATCTGAGTGCTATTATACTAGGTAATTAAAAAAATATTTTCCGTGAACTGTTGTACCTACGACGAACGTTTTTAAACTCCGAAAATACTTTATTACTATGATATGATAAATTAAAATTATTGTTGTTTCAAAAATTTAAATAAATAAACGACACATAACTATAAACGACAAAGTTAAATATGTTGAGTCAACACTGTTGACGCAATTTTAATTTTGCCATTAAATAGTTACCTACCTAGATTATATTGTTTTAGGACATTTTTTTTATTTACCCACGAACTAAAATTTTTTCACAGTTTTAAAAATTATAAAGTTATATAAAAATTAAAGTTTACCCAATCGCGATTCGTTCAAAAGTCATCTTATTGTTTAAGTGTTTCTAATTATTAACGCAGAATTGGCGATTTTATGCAATCCTCTATAAAATAAGAAAATTCAGATCGAAGAGATTATTGGCTTTCTATATTGCCGGAATTGCGTCGCTCTTCACTTCATTATGTTTCGGTGTTAAAACTTACATGTTTGAGCTCTGAAAACGATGGCATCGTTTCACACTGACGTCACGTCAGACATGTTGCATGGAAAAGTCAGTATACTGTCAGTGACAATGTCATTTGGCGATCGTTGGGTAGTCACATATAAGTAATGGCGCTTAAGTCAACTACAAAAAATGGCGGATTTTGTTGTCGAAGTTGACACTTCATATTTCGTGTTTATTGTTTTAAAAACAATCTAAAGAGCAAAACGTGTATAAAACTAAAACATTAAATTATTGTATTGTAATCATTGTATTTTAAGTTATATATCTGCTTAATAAAAAACCTCAAATTTCATTTTATTTTAAATAAAAACTACAATATTGAGAACGTTTGTTTTAGTTGTTTAAAAAAATCAAACGCACAAAAATAAACAATAAGTCAAATTTTAAATCTAATCCATTATTGCTCCTCGTAGGATAGTATAAGTAATTGAGTGGCTATTGTAGTTGACAAGTTGAATAGGTAGGCACATTATAAAATAATTTGATTTATATCTACATAAAACGGTAAACCATTGCAAATTAAAAACGATTCTAAGCGGTGTTGGTTAAAAACATTTGTTTAAATTGAAATTTATGTTAATAATTTGTAACTACATATTCAATAACAATTGTACACATGTTGTCATTTATGTGTCTCAATTTTTAAACATGTTTATGGAACGAATTAATTGTAATCGTATAAACAGAAAATCCATAAATAGTATATGTAGTAATTACGTAAAAACCCTTGAGTTTTACTAGTTTCATTAAATATGTTTCCATTAAACAACGTAACAGTTTGAAGGTCCAATGATTTAATTTGCCGTTCAAGCTACACCCGATTTTTTCTTACTGAGCCTGAATCCACTCATACTATTTAACCAGAGTTTAGTATCGACAGAGACAGTGAGTGCCGTGATTATTTCAATGTTTTCTAACTACCTACTCGATAAACATAGAATACTGTTACTACACATAATATTCAAACATTTATTTTTAAAAGTTTTTCACAAATACATTACTTTTTGTCCAAAATTTAACTAATATTAAATCAATAAGAATTTAAAACCAATTGTTCTATACAAAATACATACTTTCGATTTTATATTGAAATTATGAACAAAATTAAAATTAAACCTCGGATGGTAAAATAATTTCTATTGGCGTTAAAATAAACACATACTTGCATTCCTAAACACACCGCGTTAAATATTTTGAAATAAAAATACTTATATGTAAATAAAATATTCTATTTTATACATTTGATACAAAATGCAATGAAATACATAGAATTATTCAATCAATAAAAAATTTAATTATAAATCAAAATTATTATCAATACAATAGATAATATTTTTTATACACAAATAACTGGTTTTTTTTTTTGAAAAATATGATGTAGCCTTCTTCACATTTTTAATCATCATTTAGTACTATGTGATGTTTTTTAAATTTCAAATTTTGTATTAATAGAATTATATTATATATAACTATATAGTACCTACTCGTATTTTTTAATTAAAACTTTATTAACGCAATATAATTGCATTATTATATTCTAAAACACATTATTACCTTCAAAAAAAAACTCACTGAGAAGCAATACACCTCTCCTATCTTATTTTCCACTTTTGAAAACACTTCTGGTGGCCCGGTGATAAGCATTTATAAAGGAATATCTTTAAAATCGTTTTCCGTATTTTGTTTAATGTCATCGATTGTTTAAAACCGGCGTCCTTTAAACGTTGACTTCAACTTAGCAACGTAGGAAACAAAAAAGTCATATGAACGACTGGAGTTCGATTTTTGGCTAAAAACTAACGAATGAGCAATGAACTGTGGGTCGGGTCATTGTCGTAAGAATTGCCATAATGAAATTGATTACACGACAAAAACGCGGTTACATAAAATCGCAAAGAAATAAAAATAAATATTGTCATCGGTCTCAAACTAACGCTCTAAAACTCGTTAAATGTAACTTTATCATGTACAATTATAGATGTTTAGTTATTTTTATTGATATAAATATTATTAACGCAGTACGGGTAATTTTGGATGACGCCTTGTGTACTTGACGACTGTAGTTATTTGTATTTAACTACATGCTAAACATTATAGATTCTTTAAAATTCAAAACGTCTGAATATTATGTTGACAAGGAATATGCTTCTAATATGATACAGTATACAAAATTGTCTGAAAATAATAATATATGTAGATGTCTTGAACCCCATTTAAAAATATTTTCAAATTTTATTAATACGACTTAAGATTATATTGACATAAAATGACATAGATACCTATATATAAACATAACATGTACATATATGTATGTATAACACTATACATGTTACATAGTGACATAGACCTACTACTACACATATGATATTACCAATAAACCAATTGCTTTCAATTAGGTAGGTATTGAAATTGTATCTAAAAGTCTAACACAACTTCAATTTAGGTATTATTCTAAGTCCGTGATGTTGGTTTAATGGAAGATATAGCAATATGGTACAGTAGTCTAAAATAATAAAAAAAAATCTTTGGTACCTACTCAAATATAAAATTAAAATAATATCACGTTTCAATAAAGTAGGAATATTAATAGGATAAATAGAATGTAACGATAAAGAAATCAGTTTAGTAGGTGTTATAAAACTGTGATCAAACATTTTATGGTATTTGACCTGACAAAATTTAATTTTTATATGTTTAAAATAATATCATTAAATACGATTTTTAGAAAAAATATTTTATTTTAATAAGAGAAAACTTAACGTAATACTATAAAATAAATAATAAATGGAAATGTTCTAATATAGAATTTATTTGAATCACACTATTCACGTAGAAAATAAAAAAAATATTAATAATTGATGATAATAATACTATCGTCAATAACAGTTCGCTTTATTCTACCGTTTCTACACACGCATTGACCTATCCTCGCATGCATACAATTTCAAAAAAATTACATCCATTCTGGTAAAAAAAATCACACCTTCCAATAAGGAAATTCTCATATATCAAAAAACAAAATATCTAATAATTAACACTTAATACACATTACATTATCCCACTAAATACAGTTAGATGTTTTCATTTAATAATTAAGTAAAAATATTTCAATGAAATCAAAACATCATGAGCCAAAATGTAATAACTTTTACAACAGATGGTGTGTATTTTTATATTGTAAAATTCGTTTTTCGTCTAATCGTAGACAGTCAAATAATGCATTTACGATGGTGTTCGTGCTCCTCATTCTGTAGATTACATTTGACTGTTCTCGTCAATTCTTGATAGCTACGCAAAACATTTTTTTTTTTTTAAAACAAAATAATAAACCCGTATTAATTGTTAGATATGATTTTTTTTTTTGTTTTAATAATCACAGTTCAATACTACAGTTTTCTAATATGCGTAAGTAACAAAGTTTTTTTTTTTTTTTTTACAGAGAAATGTATTATATTATTCATAATTATTATATCTAGTGGACAACAAACTATTTCATTTTAACATTTAATGAAATTGAACCGATATGTTTGCATTATTAACATTTAACACACAAATGTGAAAATATTATTTCAATTATATCAGTTAAAATCCAACAGTGTAATTATATAAATAAATGCACCAATGTGCAAATCATTTTTATTATTTATTAATTTTAATTTATTTAATGTTAACATACAACTCAATAATAATAAAAATAATATGTAGATATATAATATATATATATATACATATAGTATATATATATATATATATATATAAATGTATTGTTGATAAAAAAAAAAAAAGTAAAAATTAATTCCTATGTTTGTAAGCTGATTTATATTGTTTTACAATGATAATATAAAAATTATCAATGATTTTAATATTGATAATATTAGAGTCCGGTAGGTACAATATACCTTTATGGTCAACAGTATAAGTTCAAAAAAAAATTATTTTCGTTAACGTTCTATACTAAGAAAACCGAGTACAACCACTTCAAACATTTATGTAACATGTAATAGGTAGGTATTATTTTGATGATTTGATTCGCATACTATATAATAATTAAGTATAATACAAATATCTAATCATTTAGTTTTATGAGCAATCTTTTTTCTAATGACTTGAAAAAGTAGTGTAATATTTTAATTTAAAATTATTGATTATGTTAATCATTTACAAATGCGTTAGTAAATCGTTGTTAAAAAATTAAAATATTTAAAATTAACCAGATTAGAAGAAATAAGTAAAAAATTAGAATTCTCATTAATAATCATGCAAAATGTAAAGAAGAAAATAAGTTACTTATAGGTAAATATAATAGTTGATTTTTTTCTTTTGGTTTTTCGCATACTTTACAAATTATTGATACGATTAGTACATTAAAATCGATAATTTTTGGTTGATACATAAATGATTGTACTCAAATTTCTTAAAAAAAAGTCCAAATTAAATCAGATGAGAGTTATTTCAGAGTGGTATTTCAGAATAGTTTAAAACTAAATGTAATCAAATGATCTAGGTACTTAAACAATATTTCAGTTAATGTTAACTAGAATATAACTAAAAATTCGAAAATATGTAGGTAATTATCAACAATTAATTGTTAGTTATTTTCAGTTACCTAAGCTCAATACAATTAACCTTGACATAATACATATAAGTAGGCATTACTAAAATAAACTAGAAAATGTATTGTGTTAATTAAATAGTTGATTTCAAAAAATATTTATATTAAAATATATTGTAATAGCCAACTGGTATAAACATATATTATGGAAAACATAAATAAAATCAAGAAATAGTTTTATATTAGTACCATTTTCTCATTTGGTAAGATTATGATTGTAACGTTTATAGTTTTTCTCTAATAATTTTTAAATTATTTTGTGAAATACCTAAAAAAATTTTAAGCCACCCTGTATGAAGTAAATTGATTAAATTGGTTTTTGGTCGATTGTTTTATGCACATTGATATTAAATGTTCTAAGTATTTACAAGTAGGATTCAGAAAATTCCATATCTGAGGCACTAGCTCTAGAATAAGTAGTGGCCGTACCAGCAATGAACGCTGAGTCCGATGTACCTTCACCAGTTATGAAATCGGCTACAATTAAAGTATCTTTATTTACCGACTGCGACAAGAATGAATGTTCAGTAAGCTGTGACTCGTCATTCCATTTAAGTTCAGTCTTATCGACATCGCCCCTTAAACTGGCTAAATCGGATTTAAGTAGTTTTAATTTTTCTTCTTTCTAAAACAAATAATACATATTTAACTCAATAAAATGTTTAAAAAATATACATATTTATAATTTATAATTTTTCTTCTAGTGATAATATTAAGTTTTAAATATACTAATTTGTACAAAATAATAGTATACCATTGATTAAATAACTACATATTTCTACTTAGAGTACACACGAGTAAATGTGAAATGGGGTATCGAAGACAATCCAAGATAATTTAACTGCGGAGAATACAGGTGACAGACATCTATTTAAATGCACGAATGCACAATACACGATAAAAGATCGAAAGGATCTGTATGATAAATTAATATCGGAAGGTGGATTTCGTAAAGCACTGGTCGAAAATGAGAGTATAGAATATGTCGAACACACGAGAAGAAGAAGACAGATAATAACTTGAATTTGCTCACTAACCTATTTATGTTTAGTCATTGGTTCGTTACCTATATATTTGGTACATACGATAAACAAAAATTTACTTGGAATTTGAGCTTTAACCAAATTTAAAATAAAAAAAAAAGATACCATCGTCACCATAAAAAACATATTTATTTTTGTACGTTTGAATAACGTATTTTTAATTTTAAATTGCCTATACTCTAAAATATAATCAACACAAAGAGTTGATACGTCTGATAGGTGTGCAACTGTTGTAGGTCGGAAATTGGGAAGTTAAGTTACATAGAGTTATTTAATTTATATCTGACCGCAATGATAAATAATTGCTAATACGGTTCTGAGTGAGGTTCAGTTAAACATGTTTTGAAATGCCGTAATTGTTATTATTTCATCATAATTTTAACTTAAAACGTCCGAATTACCCCCTCACACACGTAGCCACCGCCATTACCGGTACTGTACACGACCGCCCAAATTACCCTCTTTACATCACCATCTCAACTGCCACTACAACTTTAAAATGAAATAATTTAATTAAACAATTTTTAAAAATGCCTATAAATAGCTCAAAATTCGTAATGTTTTGAAAAATTGACTACGTTGAAACACCCTAATTTCAGTATTTCGTGAAAATGTGAGGTTTTCACAATTATTTTCAAACGAATTATGACAAAAATAGAAAATTGAAAATACTGAAACCGTAAGTATATTTTCCATTTTTTTCCGGTTTTTGTCAACTATTATGAAAACTATAAGAAAAATTTAAAAATATCATTCTCAATGCACCAAATACATTCTAAATTAAACAAAAGGGGTCTCTTGTAATTTTTTAAATGAAGTAAGATTTCTGGTGAAAAAGTTGTTTACACAAACATAAAAAATGGAATAATAAGCACACATCATAGTTTAACTTTAATAAATTCCTCACTGCACTCAAAATCTAAAAGAAAATCATTGGTACAATAATGTATCTTAAACTTTAAAATGCAAAACGTGAAATTAACGAAATGTTGACATTTTTTAAATTTTTTTTCTGTCTGTGAACAATTTTTCTACCAGAAAACTTGCTCCGAAGTATAGACTGTATAGACTTTTCCTGAAAGCTAATTTTCTTTTGTTGGTGCCTTTAGGAGGTCATTTTTTGATTTACCAAGGGGTTTTCGAAATAATTGGAAAAAACCGAAAGGTAATTGTAAGTAAAACAGCAAATATTTACCGCGCTGCGGCGTTACCGTTTTCATTGTTTGTATTATGTTATTAACGCGATGCTTTCTACCAGAAATATTATTCCAATCCAAAAGTGACTAGAGATGGTTTTTGTTCCTATTAAGATTTTTCTAATGACAAATTAAATCGTTTTTCAATATCCAAATCAGTTTTTGTAATAATTGGGAAACGGCAACGTAGCGTCCCGGTTTAATTATTTTAATATGTTCAACTTGTTTTCGACCAGACATACTACTCCAATCAAAAATGACAAGAGATCGATTTGTTCCTTTTAATACATATCCACTGACAGACAAGGTCGTTTTTTGATATCTAAAGTGTTTTTTATTATAATTAGGAAAACAATAAAGACGAAATATACGATTTTTTTCAAATTACCACACAACGATTTCTTTAATTTAAATTTTACGGTTTATGTTTTCTACTATAAATATTAATCCAATACATAAATAATAAGAGACATTTTTTAGTTAAATTTTTAATCTAGTTAATGAGTAAGTTATTCGTTTTCTCTGTAATTTTATTGATAATGAGCATAATCTAAAAAAAAAAAGCGTAGACATAACGGGAAATTTTACGAAAATAACGCTTTTATTATTTTCAATTTTGGTTTTTCGTTGTAAATTAGATTAAAATATTCGTAAATCCATGAAATGCTAACAGAAAATGTATACGTACTTTTTTTAAACGTTTTCAAAATACTTGAGTTATTTTTAAGTTTTTTATAGACATTTTAATTTTGAGAGTGTTTCAACGTAATTTTTATTTGGTAGGTACTTTATAAATAAATTGTTAGATTTAATAGAAATGCTTGAAAATTTGAGAGGGAGGTTTAAATTCGTACATTATGGTCAGAAAAAAAAATTGAGCTTAATGTAGTATTTTTTTTTTTTTATAAAAGAATTTTAATATCAAATTTTGTCGAAAATCGTTTGAGTAAAAATTAAGTGGAACAAATCTAATTACTGGTTCATGCAAATTTTTCTATTTGTTTAATTTTTAATATATGTATATTGCAAATTTAAGAACAATGGTGAATCCAACATTGAGCGTACTGACTTAGTTTTGAAATTATAGCTTTTTGAAGTTCTGATATAATGCGAATATTATATGTATTATGTTAAATAACTCAATATTTTCGATAATATAGTATGTCTGTCGCAGTTAAGTGGTGTTAGGTAAACCTGTTGTCACCTCGGATTCAAACCCGAGTTCCGACATTATTTTTGCAAAACCACGCCGGGAATGTAACGGGGGAAAAAAACAAATGCATTTTGTTTCTAAAAATAAAATTAGGTGCAATGTAGTATTTTTATATATATATATATATATAAGAGTTTAAAAATAAAATTTTAACGAAAATCGTAATTATTATCGTCTTTCAATACTTGTGTAACCAAACTTCGCTTCGAATCGTTTTTCGTTATTAATCGTTGGTTGCAAGTATAAATTAAATAACTTTATGTATCCTACTTTTTTAATTTTTATTTTTATTAATGTGTAAATTGTTTTGTTTAGATTATAGTCTAGTTGAAATTTTCTATAGGTATCTCTTTACTTCTTTGATTGTAGCAGCGAGTTGTTTATTTTCTTCGATAAGTCTCTTATATTTATCTTCGTCTTCTTTTGACATTCCTGCGTCCGGGTTGTATTTAGATTCTGGTTTGTCGTGTGGGTCTCGTATCACTTCGATCACCTAAAATGTATTCAAACATTTATCTGCTGCAATGATATTGTATAATATGAAGCTAATTTGTATTCATTATTTCTTACTTTTGGTACAAATATCAATGCCATGGAAAGAAAGCAACAGAAAATAACGGACAACGCTACAAAAGCGAAACTAGCATCTTGTTGTGATGCAGTCACCATAATCACTGGCGTAGTTATTAAGCACGTAACAACCACATTATAAATTGACATTCCAACGTATCGCGAATCATTTATTTGCCTGAGTTTAACGCTTCTGGTTTCGTACGAGACGAAAAGCCCAAAAAGTAACAACAATCCTTTGTAACTTAATGTTAAACCTGAAAAATAAATTGGCAAATTAAATTTCTATTCTTATAATCATTATTCATTAAACATGCAAAAATCAACAACATTTATTACACGTATTTAACTGACACGTTTGAAGAAAAAATAATATCATTAAAACTCACTTAGCCAAAAATTATGATTTTCACTCTTACAATGCTCAAGTTCAGGTCTTATTTTTATGTCATCGTTGCTATTTAATGGATTTTCCAAAGGAAAAACTTGTATATCACGCATTAATGGATCCATACATTGCCAGATAAATAAAATTGCAACATCAACGGCCAATAAAAATATTACGATTGAATACATTTTCCAAGGTTGCAAGGCTTTCTAAAAACATATATAATTTAATAAATAAATAAATAAAGCATTTAAATTTATTATATAAATTACTCTGATAGCGTTTTTCTTTTGACTCGTATGCAATCTGTGTACTCTCCATACTTTACTATACATCGCACCGTACCCCAACGTAAATCCAATCGATAATACCCAAGTTTTTATTTGGCATATGTTTGGAAAAACAGTCGGTGAAATTATCTGACCGTCCAATCCAAATAAAAATATGCTGCTTAAGCTCAGCACACAACCGGACAGCATAATGGTGTTACAAGCTGGATACGATTGAGCAATGACTCTGAATTTATATTATTAACAAATAAATAATAAGACAACGGACAACGGTTTTTATTCACGCCATACCTTCTGTGGTGATTGATAATATTGAATACTATAAGACTAATAGCTACGAGTATTCCAATCGCTGTAATTACCCACATACATATCAGTAATGGCAGTGATAATGTACGCAATACACGGCGAATCACAGTTCTGTCCTGTGGAATTTTACCTCCTGTTTGAAAAAATTAATATGTATAAAATAAAATAATTCCTAAATATATTTGACGTATACAGAAATAATTTAATAAGCTGTACAAAAAAACATAAAATCAAAATAATCGTTTTCAAATGGTGCACTTGGGCAAGTTTAAACCACACTGACAGCGACATATTTATCTTAAATATTCTTTAAATAAATTGGAAATTTTAAATGTCTTATTATGTCCGTAAGATATAATTTTTATCATACTAACCTATCCATCTTTCTTTACCGAGCCAAGTCAAATTATCAAACTGTGTGTCATAATAACCAAGTTTAACGTACTTTCCATCAATGACTTGTTCGATTTGTGTCAATGCTATTCGATCACCTTGTGAACTGAAAGCTACCCAACCCTGAAATTGTTATACATTTATAAAAATATATTTTCAATAATAAAATAATAGAGTAAAAACAAAATTATAAAATGGTTAATACTCGTTAATAAATGTGTAAATAAATAAATAAGTAAATAGATATTATTTATTTATCTATCTATTTATTTATTTATTTACATAACTCTATTTTCCCTTGACAATACACTTACAGATATCCCAAGAAATTGAGTTGAATTAATTGCTGAATAAATATGGTCTGCGATTTCTTTATTGTTGTAGTTGAAACTAGTGATTGATTTGCCTTGTTTTTCTAAGATACTCATAGTCTTATTGAAGGCTAATATTTAAAAACAAAATGTTTTGGGTTTAATTACAAGTAATTTGTTTTTTGTACAAACAAAGATTTAATACCTAAAGCTACAGCCCATACTGCATCGTAAGCTAAAGGCGCTTCTTGATAACCTTCAGGATAAAGATGTTTATCTATTGCATGACCTTCATCTTGCAATACACGTTCAAGTTTTTTTCGGAAGTCTTCAGAAGTCTATGATAAAAGCATAACAATACTAAACTAAAAACTGAGAGATTTAAACAATTTATTGGTTTTACAATGATGTTTTTTTTTTCTTTGGACTTTTCTATCAGCAATTTTGCTCCGATTTTCAACTATAGCACTTTTTCTGACAGAAAATCTTACTGGGGTAGTATTTTAAGAGAGTCATTTTTTGGTTTTCGCAATTATTTTCATAATAAATGGGAAAAATCGGGGAAACCGTAAAAAAAATAGGAAAACAAGAACAATAATTATAATAACAATTATTATAATAATAATATTATCATAATTATAATAACAATAATTATCGTTGCAGATATACATCAAATTTTCCTCTCTACCTTCTAAACTTCTCACCTACAACAGTGGTCGGGTGCGAAGTATGTCATACTTCTTTTTAATTTTATTTCTGTCGGTTTTCCTGTTTTCCCATTTATCGGGAAAATCAAAAAATGACTCTCCCCAGTCAGATTTCCTTTCATAAAAATTGCTATCATTATAAATCGGAACAAAATTGCTGGTAGAAAAGTTGTCCACAGAAGAAAAAAGGCCGTAATATCTTTAACCAATACCTACATTTCGTACATTTTTTTCGTTTTATTCCAGTTTATCCAATATATTGAAAAAAACTACTAAGAAAATAATAAAATGACTTTCCTAAAGGACCTTCCCAGTCAAATTGACTTTCCGAAAAAGTGCTATCGTTGTAAATTGAAGTAAAATTGCTGGTAGAAGAGTTATTCACAGATAAAAAAAAAATCAACATCATTATAAAACTAAAAGGTTCTTCGGTCCACTCAGAATCTAAAATGGGTTTATAGTTTCCTGATGTTTTACTACATGTTTTCAAAACTGAAAACTCCTTAAAAATGTTTTAATAATTCAACTTTTTAAGACAAACTGAATTAAATCACTACTCTAAAACTCACAGAAAAAGTCGTCTAGTATCAATATAAACTTGATTTAGAAAAATAGGTAACAAGCATTTTGTTAATCCTAAAGCCGGGAAAACAATGTTTCGTATTAAAATAATTATGATGCAGATATAATAATATTCTTATTAAAGATTATTAGTTAAACAATTTCTAATTATGAACTAACATTTATGTGTACTTATATACAGGCTGTAATAGGACTGTTTAACAAATATAATTACTTTTTTCCTATCGAATATTTTAAATTTTTTTTATTTAATAATTATTAAATCTCGGTACCATAATATAATATTTTTAATTGAATTTTAATGTTTTAGAAATTCAAAATAAAAATTGTATATAGATTTTAAAAAAATAATCAAAACGATCATTTTTTAAATCTGATTTTTAGAAAAATGTTGGTATCAAACAAGGTTAAATCAATTGTTTTTAAAGTTTTGTGAAATATGAAATTTTTATGTGCGTACATTTTCAAATGGTTAATTTGATTTTTCCATGAAATATTTCACAATTTCATAATATTCTTATCATATTAGTTTAAGTTGGATCTGATAAAAAATTATAATTTATCGTTAGTAAAATTAGCAAGAATAAATTTTAATTTTAATAAACTTTAAAAATTGTTATTAAAATTAATGGTATAACCTAATTGATATTTTTAAACACACTAATAATTTTTTTTTTAAATCCTATTATATAAAATAGTTATCTTGGATTATATAAAATATTTTTAATAAAAATAAATCTGAATATGATTTTTTTTAGTTATAAACTAATAAAATAAAATATAAAAATTATAACGTGCAGAAATTTAGTAATTATAACAAAAAAAAAAAAAAAACGTAGATAAAAGTTATTGCATTTGTAAATAGTCCTGTTACACGCGTAATATATATATACTTATACGTAGGTATCGTTTTTTATATTATGTTTAAATTAAATAATAGTGGAAAATAATGGATCCACAGATTGAATTTCCACCAGAGGCCATCTATAACTAATAACGCACTGAATAATGTGTATAGCAAATTTGTAAATTTTTGATGCACTATAAACTCAATAAATGTTTGAAAAATCTAATACTACCATTCCAGATATAGTTTTTTGGTTAATGTTTTGGTTCCACATTAGAGCTTCGGTGGTAATGTGGCCTTCAGCAGCAATTCTCATTTGTTCTCTGGTGCACTTGATTCCTTCCTTGTCCAAGTTGAGTTCAAACCAATTATCTTCATACCAACCTATAGATACATAGTATAAGTATTATAAGTAACAATGTTGAAAAACATTATAAAACAAGTCAATTACTTACCAATAAAAAACCACACGTAAGCTTTTCCATATAATTGCTGTTTGTACATTTCGCACAGCACTTTTCTAGCTGCAACTACGTAAAACAAACCAACAATTATTCTGGCGTCATGTCTGCGTAAATTTTTAACAGCATCAGTTGGATCGCTTAAAAAACTTTGCCTGGTTATTATTTCAATGCCGTTTTCTTTACACCGATCTTCGATATCTTCTACTGTCTACAATTACAATTAAAATTGAAGTAGGTAGACACACATTATGTTATTACTATAAAATATTATTTGACTAAACAAAAACATACGGAAATAAACACTTCTTCTGTTTGCTGAATAATTGCAATTCTGTACCATTCAAATTTTTTCATAAGGGTGATTCTAGTTGGACTATGCACAGTAGCAGAAGGATGAGTTCTAAACAGCGTAGGGAAACGATTTCGATCTGATAATGCCGGTGAACTAGCGCCGTAACATAACTAAACAAAATTATGTTGTACGGAATTATATTTGAATATTTAAACAAATGTATATATTTATCATAATATTATATCAATCCTGTACACATTGCGTATAATATATTATTTAGGTAATATAATTAATAATTTTTTAAAGAAATGTATACATTTTATAAGTACTAATTCTATACTTACAACAACTAAATTCCACATTTTAGCCGCTTCAGCAACAGTTGTACATACGGTACTACATCCGGCTAACAACATGAGCTTTTGAGGTTTATTATACAACAGATCATACATGACCGATGCACCAAGTCCCGGATCACACTAAAGATCACAAAAATAGGAAATAAACATTAATACAAACCATTAAACATTTTAAAAACCAATAGGTATCAATGAATATTTAGTTAAAACAAGTATCTATATTTTTTACTTTATGCATTAGTATACATTTATATTGTATATTATTTTATTTTGTTTTATTAATTTATTTTATAAATAAAATTTATAATAAATTATAATGTATAAATTAACAGATTACCTATCATTTAATAATGCTGTGTTCTCGTTTATTTGAAACTCAATATTAATGATTTAATAAATTTATAAAAAAAATTTCAATTAGTTTTAAATTAATAATAACAAAAAACTACTTGTAATTTTAATAAATATTTTTAAAAACCAAAATTATCTATTATCGTACAAACTATTTTATACTTTTAAAGAACATATAAACATCTGTAAAGCAAGGTTAATCCTCAGAAAATGATTATGTTAAAGCAGACCCGGATAAAAATTTGTTCGTGTTGAAATTATAGAAATATAATAATCTATATAAATATATTATTTGTTTTAGATATTTTTAGCGAAGAATGTATTGGTTTTACAAAGATGTTTATTTCTTTTCTTTTTTCCTTTTTTTTTTATGAGAACACTTTGAAATGTTCTCTGGGTGATACTTCAAATAGGTCATTTGTTGAAATTCTCATTAATATTCGAGATAATGAGAAAAACCTGGTTCTTTATTTTAAAAAAGATTGAAAGATCAAAAATAAGGTTGTCATTGACAACCGTTTTTATTTATTTTTTTGTTGTTATTAAGTTTTAATCTTTTTTTAATTAATTATTGTTGTCATGGAAACGCATATTGTTGTAATCATTTTACAGATATTGTATTCAGATTTTGAGATATATATTGTTAACAAAGCAACACTATCAACTGAACTCCGCTCAGAATCGCTTTTTGTTAGCAATGATTCATCGCGTTGCTTACAGATGTACATACATTAAATTCCCGTCTGTATCCTACCTTCCCAACTTCCCACCCACACAGTGGTTGCACCCACATGTGAAGAATGTCCGCTCTTTTTTTTTTTAAAAAGAAATATAAATAAAGTAATTTACATAATATTAAAAATGTTTACAATAAAATATCTACCTCCTTTAAGCGCAATGCTTGTGATGGTGGTAGAGATTTACATTTAATTTAAAAATAAGAACACATACTAAACGAAAAAACAAAAATATTACTAAGTAGGTACTTAATTTAATAAAAAAATACAGAACAACAGAACAAAGTTGTACAAAAAAATTAAATAGTTGTATTTGAAAGTCATTTCACAAAGTCCCATTGTATATATTTACACATTATTTCCTTATTTTTAAATTATATTACACATACTCACCTCGCTATCGTTCCAATGTAACTTCAATTGATACCCGGACAAAATGTTATTTTTATTGACATCCTCCAGAGCCAACCGGACGGCAGGTTCGCAAGCTTGGCCCCCTTGCCATCCGCCTTTACCGCCAATCGGAAATATACCGCCGATATGCAATACATTGTTGTTGCCTTTAAACGAAAACGATAATTCGACGACAAACAGCACCAGCGAAACGATAGCCGCGAACGGGATCATTTAGCCGGCCTTCGAAAAATCGAAGGAGTAAATGCGATAGTCGTTTACATAACGACAACAATTGAACAATATCGCGAAAACGTAGGAACGGTAGTCCGTTCGGAGAGTCGCACCCTGTGTCAGTGGTTGATTTCACCGGGGTAAGGGACTTTGGTATTGATTTTCCCGGGGTGCGCGGAGCGCTGGTCTCCCTCGTGCTGTCTCGCCCTTTAACATATGATCAAATGAACAGGGAAAAAAAAACAATTTAAATATATAAAAATCGCAACGCTAAATATTATAAATTCACCGGAAATACTCAATTGTTGTACGCGTATACATGTGTATTATGATCAATAATCATAATATGATTAATATTTTAAAAATCATTATATTTTTGTTGGCTACACAACATTATTATATCATTGATTATACTTATCACCAACGGTTATACACTTAAAGTTAGAAGAAGTCCCTACTCAAATTAATTCAATGCACTTTAAATTGCATAATTTACGAAATATAATCGTAGTATATGTTAAAAAGAGCTGATACTGCTAATGGACGTACCACTGTTGTAGGTAGGTAGTTAGGAAGGTAGGATACACAAATGTATTTAATTTACATTTGTAAGCAACGAAAATACCAGTGCTAATGAAAAACGATTCTGAGCGGAGTTCAGTTGATAGTGTTGCTTTGTCAACAATATATATCTCAAAATCTGAATACAATATCTGTAAAATGATTACAACAATATGCGTTTCGATGACAACAATAATTAATTAAAAATGGATTAAAACTTAATAACAACAAAAAAATAAATAAAAACGGTTGTCAATGACAACCTTATTTTTGATCTTTCAATCTTTTTTAAAATAAAGAACCAGGTTTTTCTCATTATCTCGAATATTAATGAGAATTTCAACAAATGACCTATTTGAAGTATCACCCAGAGAACATTTCAAAGTGTTAACATAAAAAAAAAGGAAAAAAGAAAAGAAATAAACATCTTTGTAAAACCGAAGTTCGGTTATTCGTGTTTTGAAAGGCCGTAATATTTACGATTTTCGTCAAAATTTGATACGAAAATTCTCATAAAAAAAAATACTACATAACACTATAAATTTATTTATTTTTTTTTTTTTGACACTATATACGAGTATTAATGAACCTAATCTAATTTTTCAAAATTTTTTGTACACAGAGCAGAAACCAGCCAAATAAAAATTACGTAGTAAACTCGCAAAATTAAAATGTTTATAAATAATTCAAAAATACGTTCTATGGTAATGGGGATAGGTGCAGCCACTGTAATAGGTAACTTAATGTATACCTGTAAGCAACGATAAACTATTTTTAACGAAAAAACGATTTTGATCGGAGTTCAATTGATAGTAATACTTTGTCAACAATATATTATAGTAAAATAGTTAAATAAAGGCTTTACATATTTTCTTTAACAATATTTGTTTAATATTTTACCGGTGATTTTCCCAGTTTTCCTACGTTTTTCCCGATTTTCTCATGGTTTTTCCTGGTTTACCTAAGCAAAATTATTGGTAGAAAAGTTGTGCACAGAAAAAAAATCGAAATATTTTATTCTAGTACCCAATATATTTCATACATTTTCCCGTTTTTTTTTTTCGATTTTTCAAATTTGATGAGAAAATTCCTGATAAATCGAAAAATTACCTCTGTAAAGTACCTCCCCAGTCGGATTTTATTTTAGAAAAGATGCTACACTTGGGTGTTATAGGTTTTTGTCAAAATTTCAAGTCTCCAGTCTCTATTTTTAACTGAATTATAATAAAAAAACAAAATTGAAAATAATAAAACTATTAATACCGTAAACTTTCTTGGTCTTTTTACGTTTTTTTCGGTTTTGCTTGGATATTAATAAAACTACTAACAAATCTAAAACCACTTTCTTACTCACTATCTTATTCACTAACACTAACCAAAATATAATAAAAAATGTCTACTATGGGTTTTTTATGGAATCAAGATTTACAGCAGGTAGAAACTTTAATGTTGTACCGATTTTCCCGTTTTTTTCACATTTTCTGGGAAAACTTTTGTGAAAATCTGAAAATAGCTTCCTTAAAGTATCTTCCCAGGAATATTTGCTTTCAGAAAAGATGCTACAATTAAAAATTGGATAAAAATTGTTGGTTCACAATTTGTTCACAGAAAAGAAAAGAAAATAAACATTATTGTAAAACCAATACATGTATCTAAAATGTACTTTATTTTTTTATTTCTTTTTTACTGGATTTAAGTCCATGGGTGCCGGACATCAACAATTTTGTGGGGCAAATTTATTACTGTATGTTTTTTCTAAAATATCAATTAATCCGTGAAACGGTGGCCCCGTTGCCCTCTTGTACTCAGCGTCAATGGTTAAGCGCCTCTCGTGGAAAAACTCAAATTTCGCCTATAAACATGCCCCACGGTAGTTACTTTAAGTGCACCAAACTCAATTTTCCGGGTATTTTCAAAAATAATCTGAACCATATTATATTAATCTCATTGTTTACATATCTATTACGATATTCAAGTCGAATTCGCGAAATCAAAACCTAACACGACTAACTTTTTTACAAGAGAAATTCGTAGAAAAAAGGTACGTACAGCGTACGGAAATACGCTCCTCGTTAAATTCGGTTATTTGCGGTTTTAACTCCAATTTCAAGAAATTACTTGAAATTGGATAATGTATTAATAGCAGTAGCGTAATTTTTACAATGTCGCCCGTTAGTTAGTCCGAGACATGAAGATTCGTAATTCGTGGACATCCTTTTAACGTTTTTTTTTTTTTTTTTTCAGACCGCTGTGCTCGAAATGGTATTGTGCAAATAACTATTGTTATGTATTGTAGAATATTTGACTGCGATTTTCTGTACCAAACTAGTTTGTTTATTTATACGTCAATATTTATTTAGGTATTGTGCGTTTTTCTGTTTTTTCAACGACTGTTTTATTCAACTCCTATTCGCACGTTTGCAGCGATATCGCATAAAGATACAATAGACGTTGCCTGTACCATCTATTCAAATCGAAACGCGCTTGCGAAAAACGTTTAAACCGCGTATATTTAATAGGTACCTGATGTGCGGTATATATTGTTGTGGTCTAATGACATAATTCACGTCCATCGACGGCCGCTAAATCATTACCACGGTTATTATTGTGCAAATGCCTTCAATATAATAGCGATTTTTGTGTGTGTTTAAATCACGTACCTTTACCAGCTATTTCACGCAACGGCCATCAGCGTGTGACATTGAACAATTAACGCGTTTTTCGAAGCGATTGTGCTCAGACGTTTTCAAAATTAAATACGCACAATCGCAAATGGAATATTAAATGTATAACATAAATAAACGCGAGTAAATGTAATTATAACATTTTGTTAAAAATTCCAAACGCTCGCGAGTCGGTTACAGGCACCCCCTACTTGCCTACGCATTATGTTGGCCGTATTACGAGTACCGTTTCAGTCGTGCGCCAGCGTTTAGACCAAGATGATAAAATTCCTGACGGTCTGCGGCATATTTTTTTTCCATTTAAACGGTCGTTGTCTGTGCGATTTAAACGTAGTGTACCAGTGGAACAAACTGAATTTGTCGCTCCAAGAAAACGACCGGGAACACCGGTACATACCGGAAAACAATCTCGTGTACAGAATGAAAATATGGAACGACACGCTATTCATGGCCATACCCAGGTTCAAACGGGGGGTGCCGGCGACGTTGTGCAGGAGTTACGGGGGCGCGATACACCCGTACCCGTCGCTGGGCCTTCAGAAAGTCGGCAACTGTTTCGGGATGCAGAACGTCAAGGACATCGAAATCGATCATTTGGGCCATCTGTGGATTCTGGACGTCGGCAACGTGTACGATCTGGAACCGGTAAGCAACCGCAGTTGCGATCCGAAATTGTTCGTGGTGGATTTAAACACCGGGTACATAGTGAGATCGGCGGTGTTGCCGCGCGGCATGTACACGAACCGCAGTGTACTCAGCGGTCTTACGGTCGACTTGAAATCACTCACCGCCGTCGTCGCCGACATCGGTCCCGACCCCGGGTTTATCGTTTATAATTTACAAATAGGAATTTTCCACAAATTCCCGTGCGAACTATTGGCCACGGCCAAAGGCTACAACGAGGCGCTCTTGACCGTATCCCCGATCGACAACATGTTGTATTTCACCACCATAGAGCTGAACAGTTTGTTCGCGATTCCGTTAAGCGTATTCGGCGTGCCGTTCATCAAAGACGTAGGCCACTACGTGAACAACCAAGGGCTTAAAGCGGACACGTCGACCGCCATGATCATGGACACGACTGGTAATTTGTATTTGGGCATGACCCGGAAAGTGATTGCTTGGAACACGCTGAAACACGGTTTCGACGTCAAGGAGCTGTACATACAAGAAGTGAGACTCGACTGGATTTCGAGTTTTGCGTTCGATTCAAACGGATATCTGTGGATAATTTCGTCGGAATTCAAAGATTTCCGAGAATCGAAATCAAAAAGAACGAACATGTTGATATTCAAGAGGTACTGCGGTACGACGTCGTTCGCCCTTCACGAAGTCGCTGCTGCGGGTTCTGTAAACCATACGGGCACTACTGCGGTACAGCGCAATTCGGTCAACGCGAAATATACTGCTGAAAATCTTATTCATATTTTTACTTTGGTTATATTGCACGTTATATTTGCACGCGATATTTTATAAGTATACAGCGGACGATGCTAAATAAAAATCAAAGACATTTCGGTTCGTTTTTGTCGGGTAGGTTACCTACACCTTTAATAATCCAATATTGTAATAAACGTGCCTATTATTATTTTTTTGTTACGATAAAACGAAATAAAACGAATTCTCCGTAGAATAATATTTATAAGATACAAGTAATGTTAATAGTTACCTACGTGTTTTATGTACTAAGCGAATACAGTGATAATTTAGAAAATCGTCGTCAGTCGGACTCGATACTATCATAAAGTTATTACTCTATTGAGTACCGATTACTCTTTTAAATTTGAAAACGTTATGTGTCCGTTAATTTAGTTAATATGTCGGTATAGGTAGTAAAAATTTCTGTAGGTGCCCAACTAATTTACCGAACAAAGAACAATCAGTTGGGTACCCATACCTAATTTAACCGTCAATTTAGTACAAATATATTATTGCATATTATGTCTAACAGTCAATTTTTTTGTTATACCTATTATTAAAAAGGTACGTTTTGTACATTAGTGGTTTTATATTTATGGCTGAAACTATTCTTATGTGTCTACGCTTCGAACCGAAAACACATTTAAAAGTTTTAAAAAAAAAACAGAGGCAATAATAACGTTCGACCATTGCAAACAACAATAACAACGTACCTACATACCCACTTACATAATAAATATAAATTGTGATATGTGTATAATATTATTACCAATATCTTTGAAAATACCTTAATAATTAGGTATTACTTAAAAAATAACCTAACCAGTCGCGCCGAACCTATACAGAATGATTTACTCAACCGGAACCACTCGTTGTCACGAAAAGTATTAATTTTTTCGACATTTTTTTTTTTTTTATGGAAAACATAAAAATCAAATAGTTCTAAAATGTAACGTTATTATTTTTTTTTTTTTTTTGTACCCCTTATTTTTGGGGGTGAAATGACCGTCTACTTTCGATTTTCAAATGGCGACCTATTTTAAAAATGTCTTAAATGGAGAGACTATAGAGTATTATTTAAAATAAATTTTGGTGTAGAAATGTTTGATTTTCGTCAACTCGTTGACGAGATATTCCACTTTAGAGTTATGGACGGGAGGGAGAGTAGTGATGTATAGTTGAAATTCCGCGCGAATTTCGTTACACCGACAGTCTTATGTATTACACCGGGAGTTTTAAGTGATAACAGTATAGAAACTCCCAAGGTATGATAATCTCTACTACAATATTACATACAGACGGTAAATACATACAAGCCGATTCGCGATAATAAAGAAATATTCATAATCTATAGCTATATACCTATATCTATAGCTAAAACCATAGACTTATAATATATAGACCGCGCGTTAGTGAAATATATTGAAGCCAACCAATGTGCGAGAGAGGCTCCGACTCTGACTTTATTTTCCAAGGAGTTCATAAAAAATGTATAAAATAATCTTTGAGATTATGAATATTTATATTTATAATAATATAAGGATAACGAAATTGATAATATTCAAAATTTCGAATTTTATTATGTACTGATGATAGCATTATCAGTAATCAATTAAATATTACCAGGGAGTATTGTAAAATTGATGTTAACCTCCTTAGAAAAGTAACACCAGTCTCTCTCGCACGTAATATGAATATAAATTCTGAACAAAATTTCGTGTTTTACGAAGAATATGGTTAATCCAGTTTTTACTGTACTACCAAATTAATCAATGTAATATTATTGGCATTTTTTTTTTAAATATTACTTTTGTTTAAAGTGTGGAGTTATTGAAGCGTTTGTTCAATTTTTTGAATACGGTTCAACGTTTACTCGTATTTTTGCTGGGCGACAATTTTGATTAAACTACATCATCATATTTGAAATATGTTGTTCCGTAGTCCTGACCTAATGTGATAGTAAAATTTCAAGTGATCATAGTAAAATGAATTTTAAAATCTAGGATCCGGTTTTTATGCAAAATTATTGTAGAATATGACCATATTTACAAAAGCATAAACAAAATGTATTATATTAGAATATGTTTGCGCACACAAATAGTTTGATTATGTGATAATGTGTTTATTTAGAAACAATTGAAATGTCATTAATATACCAAATTATACATTTATGACTGTATAGCTGAGCAAAATGTAGATTATTTTTTTTAAATTTGTATTTCTAAATAAATAATTAATATGTATAAATACTGTAACATCTAAAAATGTAGCGTGGTCATTTTAACTCGAATAAGTAAAATATATGTATACATATAAATAATATTAATTAAAGAAATATTAACCCCACTCTGAGTTAACAATAGAAAACAAACGTCTACTGTATGTAGCTATTATAAAACCAATTTGGACCTATGGTATTCAACTGTGGGGTTGTGCTAGTAAGTCTATATCAATGTTAGACTTACTAGCATACAACGTTGCCAAAACATCGTTCTTCGGACCATCACTGCAGCCTACCGGTTTGAAAGAAACGATGCCATTCACGGCGATATGATGCTGCCTACAATAGCAGAAGAAATCCAAAAGTTTGCTCGTAAACACGAGAGGAGATTAGAGGGCCATATCAACCCAATGGCCATCGAACTGTTAGACAACTCCAAAGACATTAGACGCCTTAAACGTCTGAAACCATAAGACTTAGTTTAAGTGTTTAAATTAAGTACAGGAGCCACTTCATTGGAAGTGTGACTTCATCAATGTGTAATGTATATATATTATCATCTAGTATGTAAGATATATCCTGTTAAACATATTTATAAAGACCATCAGGTCGTTTAAATAATAAAGCCCCAGGGTATTTAAAAAAAAAAAAAAAAAAAAATATAATTTATTAACTTTATAATAGTAATAAATATTTACAGAAACAGAAATATCATAGTAGTAATAGTATAATAGTAAAAGTAGATAGATATGTCAATACGTAAGGTTAAAACTAAATCAAACATTTGGATAAGATTTATAAAAAATAGATAGATAATCAATTAAATTAAGCGAGTCTAAATCTTCATAAGTTCATAAGTGTGGATCTTAGTCATTCTCAAACTTCTACTACCGCTTTATGGAGTCCATCAAATCCATTTCCTAATTATGACACTGGGCATTCTTATGCAACATGTCTCAATTTCTCTGCCTGACCGCAATTGCAATCTGGAGTCCACCATACCCCATTTATGAATAAGGTTGGTGTACTTAACCTACTCCGTTCTCGCTTTGTTGATTATCATCCATTCTGCTCTTGGGAGACCAAAGCCAGAAACTCAATGGGTAGGATCTAATATTAAGTGTTGATTACATACTTTATCATCTACCCAATTCTTCTTCCATTTTTTCTCCATAGACTTTAAAAAGTTCAAGAGAAAATAGATACCATAACTGACAATATATATCGGTAACCAATTATCAAGATGTAATGAATCAAAATCGCAGTATATTGTTGCCAACCTTAGTCAGATGTTTGAATTTTAAAACACAGCTTCATTTATACCGTGACCAAATATACCATATACCAAATAATAACATTTGAAATATCGGTTAATACTTCTTCATTTACCATCATATTGTACTTTTGAGAAAATGTTCCACTACATATGTAACATTGATATTTTTCCCCCACCTAAATTATTTTGTACATTTATTTTAATATAATATTTAAGAGATATTATAAGAAAATATCAGCTAAAACATCTTACATTCTTAAGGATTTTTTTCAGTATGAAGTTTTTTATGATATTTGTAGGTTTTTAAATGAGTAAATTTCTTTTTACACTCTCCACATGTATAAGGCTTTTCTCCTATATGAGTTTCTAGATGGTACGATAAAGAGGATGACTGAGAAAATGTCTTCTCACACAAATTACAATTGTAAGGCTTTTCTCCTGTATGAATTCTTAAATGAGCTCTTAAATTATTTTGAAGTATGAATGTCTTCTTACAAATATTACATTCATAAGGCTTTTCTCCACTATGAATTTGTAAATGGTATTTTAAAGAGGTTTTGTAAGAAAATGTCTTCTTACAAATTGTACAACCATAAGGCTTTACTCCTGTATGAATTCTCAAATGCATTTCTAAATTTTTTTTAAGAGTAAATGTCTTCTTACAAATATAACATTCATAAGGCTTTTTTCCAGCATGTACCCTTTTATGTTGTTTAAAATTGCCTAGTTGAGTAAATGTCTTATTACACTCTCCACATCTATAAGGGTTTTCTCCAGTATGAATTCTCAAATGAATTTCTAAATTTTTTTTAAGAGTAAATGCCTTCTTACAAATATTACATTCATAAGGCTTCTCTCCGGTATGTCCCTTTTTATGTTGTTTTAAATTGCTTATTTGAGTAAATGTCTTATTACACTCTTCACATTTATACGGCTTTTCTCCAGTATGAATTCTTATATGGTTTTTTAAAGAAGTTTTGTAAGAAAATGTTTTTTTACAAATTTTACATACATAAGGCTTTTCTCCTGTATGAGTTCTTAAATGAATTCTTAAATTAATTTTAAGAGCAAATGTCTTCTTACAAATATTACATTTGTTAGGCTTTTCTCCGGTATGTACCTTTATATGTTCTTTTAAATTGCTTAGTTGAGTACATGGCTTATTACACTCTCCACATTTATAAGGATTTTCTCCAGTATGAATTCTTATATGGTTTTTTAAAGAGGTTTTGTAAGAAAATGTCTTCTTACAAATGTTGCATCCATAAAGCTTTTTTACTGTATGAATTCTTAAATGAGATTTTAATTGGGATTTTTGAGGAAATGACTTCTTACAAAAATCACATATGTATAGTTCAACATCAAAATCTTGATACAAAATAGATTCTATTGGATCTGTTTCAATGCTTATCTGACTTTCAAAAATATAACCGTCAATGATGTCTACTTCTTTTTTAATTTGGATATTTATTTCATCACCTGCTTGTTCACAGTTTTGAAGTGATCTGAAAAATAAAATGATTATTATAATCACTAATATCATTAAAAACAAATAAGAAGTTTGTACAACACAACAAAATAAAATATGTGGTTTGAGTAACTAGTAGTAATATTATAAAAACCATATCTGGGAATGGAAGATACTTTAACTTCTACAGATGTAATAATATAACATTAAAATTCACAATATATTTATCTAAATTAAATAGATGCTATAAAATACAACTTAAGGACTGAGCAAATATTTGTATCACTATTGTAAGTAGGAATTCAGTAAATTTAATATAGAATAAAGGATACAAAAACTATAAATATTAATAGGCAAATAGTATAACAAGAACATAAAAGTATACAATAAGTTCATCAAAATGTCTACTCAAGCTTCAGATATTCATACTAAGAATTGAATATATATATATTCGTATGGCAATATCCAAGTAGTAACACAATATATAACAGAAATTAACATATATAAACTAAAAATTTAGGTGACAACAATTTTAAATTTTACAATTATAGTTAACAATAACAAGACAAATATAATGACTAATAAGCGCTTACACTTCTTTTTTCAAATCGGACAGCCAGCGGATAGAATCCCCTTCCAATGCATGCAAACTTTTCATACCACCTGGGAAATGGTGTGCCGAGTACTCTTCAACAAGATGTTTCATTGTCTGTATCATTCTATTAGTTTCGCATATTTCCGAATCTGCCAGTTTCTACTTGTACATCAGGTGGTTTGATCTTCCTTGTCCGCAGCGAAAGCGGTTGAGTCTCGACCATTCTCTCCTTGGGAGATTAAAACCTGGGAGCTTGAGATCCGGTTCCTCGATAAGTTCATAATTATAAGGTTTTTTCGTGTTCNTACTGTCTTCTTAGGAAGTCTTCTCGTCTGATATGTGGAGGAGGGATATTTGCTAATACTGGTAGCCAGGGAAGGGGAGTTGATTTTAGTGTTCCAGAAATGATTCTCATTGATCTATTGAGCTGAACATCTATTTTAGATACATGGCAGCTGTTTAGCCAAACAGGACAGCAGTATTCAGCTGTAGAGTAAACTAGCGCTAGAGTTGCTGTTCTCAGAGAGTTAGCGTTCGCTCCCCATCCTGTACCCGCTAGTTTAGAGATGATATTATTTTGAGTGGATAATTTCTAAGCTATTCTTTCTAAATGAATTCTGTATGTCAGTGATCGGTCCAAATTAACCCCTAAATATTTTGGTGCTTTATTATGTTGAACTTGAATTCCGTCGAAGCTAATGTTGAGCTTCTGATTTGCCAATCTATTATTCAGGTGAAACATTATCGATTCCGTTTTGGATGGGTTGGGCTTCAATTTCCACATTTTGCAATATTTTAGGAGTATTTCCAAATCCTCATTTAGTTTATCTTCGCACAATTTAAATCAAAGCTTTGTACTACTAAAACTGTGTCGTCTGCATATTGGAATCTTCGGGATGTGAGATTCTCTGGCGTGTCATAAATATATAAATTGAACAACAACGGTGCTAAAATTGAGCCTTGAGGTAGTCCAATATTTAGGTTTCTCCCTCTGCTTTGTGAATCATTTATATGGACCCGGATTCTTCTGTTAACTAAGAAAGAATTCAATAGTTTGTTTAACTTACATACTGATACATACTGTATCGTAAGCTGCTGTCAGGTCTATGAAGACAGCAGCGGTTTTAAATTTCTTTTGGAATCCTGATTCAATGATGGTGGTAAGCGCTTTAACTTGTTCGCAACAAGATCTTCCCGGGCGAAAACCGGCTTGTTGTTTTGGTAGTCCTATGTCTATCATAGGAGCAATTCTATTGTAGATGAGCCTTTCAAGCAGTTTGTAGCAGTTACTTAAGAAATAGGACAGTAATGATTTGCCTCATTTCCCTTCTTTCCAGGTTTATTGATTGCGATGATTTTGGCTTTTTTAAAAGAGGTTGGTGCGTTACCTGTACTAAGTATCTTGTTAAAAATTTTCAAAATATATCCTTTGGCTCCAGGGCCCATATTAATTAGAAATTCAGGGAAAATTCCATCGTAACCAGGAGATTTATTTTTCTTTACACTTGATAGCGCAAGGTCTAGTTCGTTAGAACTAAAATCCACAGACAGATGACTATCATTAGGTAATAATTTATTCGCATTTTTAAGTTTTTTTCCATGTTAGTTTCTTGGAAAGGCTGTGATGGTCTGAGACCTGTACAGCACCGGGTTGATGACATTGATACGGCGTAAAGGGGAATCACTACGTCGTATGCAGGGTGGGCGACGTGCAAGCTGTCATCATCCACCCCCTCCTTAGCAGTTAAAAATTTCTTACCTAATTTCTATTACTTTTTCCTATAAATAATCAATGATAACATTATTTCCTTAACTACAGCTCAATTTGCTACTGATTTTAAAATATTTTGGCGATAATTTCATTATACGTCTTAGGCAAGTTTGATATTTTAAAATTATAAATTAGTATAAATTATTCTTGACTATTTACTTTTGCCTTGGGCATATTGATTTCTTTATTGAGCTTCATTATTTTGTATTTCTATAATTTCAATTTTTACTTCTATTATTGACATTTTTTTTCATTATAAATTCAATCTTGATAATGAACTCATCAATCTAATCTAAACAGAAATGACTAGATTTTTCAACTGATTACTGTTTCTATAAGTTTTTTTATTTTAATAACTAAATAAATTAAAATTGACTTTTATGAATTTGAGGTATAATTACCACTAACATTAGTCACTAAAATCAATGAGCTCAAAATATTTGTTGAGGTTTATAACTGCACATTTTGCAAATCCAAAAAAAAATTTTATTTTCCATAGTTTTAAGTTTTATACACGTCAGGTGATATTATCTTTACACACATAGCACACAATCAATTTAGATGGGGAAATACTTCCATTACATGATGCACAATATGATAAATTAGGTAAACTTTATCTAAACACTCAAACAACGATAATATAATGATTAAAGATCGTTTGCCACAACGGTCAGACAAGAACTGAAAATATTTCTATAAAAATAAAATATTTTTTTGTTTGTAATTATTTTTTTTTTATTTGTAACTACAGTATAACTTCCATATAACGGTCACCAAAGGGACCAGAAATAATGAACGCTATTTAAAAGTGACCGTCTTTTATAGTTTTCTATTGAGGCATAACACTTGATGGAACCAAAACAAAATTACAGTTACACAGAGGTGATCGCTAACAGAAGTTTTACTGTACATACTCGACTATAATTTTATAAATTCATAATCTGTTGAAAATGAATCTATAACAAAAGTAAGTTTTGCATACTAATTTTTTTATTATACTTATTGATATAATATAAATATTTGACTAGAAATTACATAATATTTTTTACCTTAATAAACAACATCATTTTTTACAGTAACATGTCTTTTGATTTTATAGCAGTATCGTCATAGCCGAAACAAAGGTATTGTAAACACCAGTAACAGAACTCCATTTGAGATCATACTAATAACTTATAATTCAAATATTAATCAACTATTTAAACTAAGATCAAGTGATTCATGAAAATTGAATTATTAGCTTTCACGCACAACATATAAACGGAAATTGCACAAAATACAAGATAAATTAGTAGATTTTATTGTTTCAATATGTAAAAATAATTAGCAGACTTAATCCGTTCAATAAAAGATTCAAAGTATTTTTCAATCATTATGGATGAAATATTACACAATTTATATCAAGAACAAATATTGACAGTATTGTGAAATGGTATATTTAAATCACATGATTGGCAAAAAAAAAAAAAAATATGAATGGTAAGTCATGGATTGACGGATGTTCATAAAATAAATTATTACTGTTCTACAAAATTAATAATTCATGATAAATACTTAGTATCACCTATGGTACAATAAACAAATAAAATGCATAGCTTTTAAGGACGTTTTCTGAATACGCCAGTGTTTACACAAAAGCAATTACAAATTATTTAAACTACGGTAAGTTTGATAACTTTTAACAAGGAGCACCACGGAAAATAAATGGTTGAGCACTCCTTTTATTTATTGTTTACACTTTATAGACAGGTAGTGGTAGAGAGGAGCTGTTTTTTGTAGTTGACCGAGTAGAAAATGAAATTGACGATTTTTTAGAACACCTAGGTAATAATATTATTATTGTTATTGTTATAATGTTAACACATTTACTCACTTCGAATTAATCGGAGAATTTCCAAAGCTCTTATTAACTTCCATAATAAATGTGTCCGTTTTTAATATTTCCGTTAAACACTGTGAACTCGACCAATTGATCGAAAGAAAAAAAATACGTGGGCGTTTAATTAAATTATGATAAAACGGTACATCGTGTGTAACAGGTCTTAAAATGTCATTGGAAACTAACGCCAATAACAATCGCCGGCAAACAAACGCAAAATCACACGAACTAAAAACAGTTTTCAACGCACGCCCGGTGTCGCGGACCAGTGCAATACCAAGTACGTGAAAAATAAGGTTAGGTTTCGAATTTTCGAAAGAGACCGACCCGGTCCACGTACACCGGCGACGCGCAAACATGCGTACCTACCACGAAAAACAAAAAATTATATAAAGGAATACATGGAAAAAGAAAAAATTACAAATCAATCGTTTTGCGTATAAGAATACAGAAATAATCAATTTTAATAGGAGAGATTATTTAAAATTAGTTATTATTATACAACAGATATGTTGAGAAATAATTCGGTTATTATTTAATGTCTAAAATGCATTGATATGGGTTATTATTTTCAAAATCGGTTTGAACGTTTAAAATATTATTAAAATTATTTTTCTTTGTTTCATTGTGTATGCGTAATTCTTCTAAATCTGTATATTAACATCAAAACTTGTATTGTGGTTATTTTCTAAAACATGTTTAGCGAAATTCGAATTAGAGGCAGTTTTTTTTTAAATTTTATTTCAGAAATGTGTTCTCTATATCATAATATAAAATGTCTATTTGTCTTACCGATGTACGATTTATTACAGTTACATTTAGGTTTAGTTATACCAGCATGTTCACGAGAAGGGGGATTTCTTGTGAAGTCTTTCGTTCTATTGTTTGTATGTTTGATTAAATTGTTATTAGTCTTAAGATCGATTTTCGCATTATTAGTATTATTGTTCAGAATTTTAGCGAATTTGTCAGACGCGTTCTTTTGACATTCCATACTACAATATTTGGTGAGTTGTGTTAACCCGTGACTGTGAGCGATGTCGAGTCTACTGGTGACCGTAATGGTTACATGCGGTTACGGTTACTGGTTTATGATAAACGACATTTTTATAATTTTAAGGCGAGTCGACACCATGGAGTAATTGCCGTACGGGTAGGTTAGGTTAGGTTAGACACCGTGTCGTGCGGTGTGGTGCTTTTATTTATAATTGGTCGTGCCGTGCGTTTTCAAAATATACAACACCAATGATACCAATTGTTGTTATCGACTATACGAATATTGTACTTGATAATGATAATATTAACGAATTCGAAATCTAAAAACACAAAATCCGTGTTCCGTATATAGATTTATTGTTAATACATAAAACGTATTGTTAAAATGTCAGTAGCACTCGAACGGAAATGGTATACAAGCACAACTACGATGTACATGAATGTGATAAAAAAAATTTACCAAAGAAAAATTGCATTGCGTCACTAGTAACGAATCTTGTAGACGAATATATTGATGCTATAGAAAAAAATAGTTAATTAATTTAAAACATTAAAGTATTAATATAGGATATTTGGTTCGATAAAATAAAAACAGTATAATATTGTCCTCGTTTTTATCAGTCAGATTTGTGGCAATTTTTTTTTTTAACTACTGTAATCACTTATTAATTCGCCTCTGAATAATATTATTTTACGAATTTGTTATTTCGGTGACCGCCGTAGCGGCCGGTAGTCGGTGAATTGCGTTTTCGTTATTACTTATGGTTGATAACACCATAGATTTATAATGATAATAATAATATTAATGATTTGATTTAAAATTAAATGCGATTTGATGTTGAATTTGAATACTAGTTTCAATTCAATATAAAAAATATATATAAAATCACAAACTAGTACTACCAAGTGCATTCTTAAGTAGGTAATTTTAATATAGGTTGTTCCATTGATTTTAAAATCAATACCCACTAGCAGAACGAGTAAAACGGAACTATTAAAAATAGCAATATAATATTATTGACCAAAATCAAGTAAAATAATTTTGGCACTGTTGTTATTGGTTAATCGTACGATACAAGTAAACTATATTAATAAAGTGGATACTGTTTAGGTAATAATTCAACGATATCGCCTTTTTTGACAGAAAATAGTATGAATAGTGAAAAATCTAAAAAAAAATGTTGAGACGGCGAATTATTGATGGCGAAAATAATAATAATGATATGATATTTTAAGAAAAATGTGCGATAATAATAACCGCGCATTTTTGGTGAATGGTAAATTAACAGTGATGGTGAATGATGATGTTGGTTGTTGGTAGAACGACAGATACAAATTATTTCGTGCAATTAAAAGGGAACGTGTCGTGTTTAAAAACACACGAAACGAAACGGCGCGACTCTCCCTATGGCACGAATTAAGATATACAGCCTATACACGATACCGAACGAACGCGTGATAAGTGAAGCTCGAACCTTCTCGTTTTTTGGCAAGGCCACTAACACCATCTAGTGTACTTTTTTCAAACTATGTCAATATTTATTATAGAAAAGTCTAAGGCCGTGATAGAATAAATGTGCAATTTATTACACACCCTACAACTCCAGTCTCCACTTTAAACTGGTTTTAATTGATTTTGTCTTAAAAGCGCTAAACAACAGTCCGAACAGTGAGAACCGGGCGGACTCAGAAAAACATTGATAAGACCTTTCCGTTCGGTGTCCTGTACATCTTAATTCGTGGTCTATGGATACTACACTTTAATTAAATGTAACCACTTTGATAACAAGCATGCTCTTCCATTTGAATGTATTGTACGTCTCATAGGACATAGACATTTAAAAGACACGGAATATATAATTGTATAATGTATATAATAATTCTGTTAAATGTCTATGACCTATGCCCATCCATGTATTTATTATCTATGCTTAAATCATATCATTGTATGTTATCTGTAACCGTGTGTATGATTATCATAGGTATTATCTATGGTGAATCATTGGCGATTATATTTTCCCGCGGTTTTTACTATAGTTATAGATATAGTACTATCAATCTAGAACTTTTTGTTATTGACGAACAACTATTATTTGAATACAATTCTTAGAATTTCGTTTCAATTATTTTTACTTATTATAGTTACATCAAAAAACAACATTTTTATATTATGGCGTTGGTTCATGCAGAACTAACGGCCACGTGCAACTCACTGGGATGTGTAATAGATAATAAATATGTTATTGATCCACAATGCTCAGGTATTTACTACGATTGTCAGACTAAATAATTTTGTGTACGATCTGTACGAAACATTGTGTTTTATAGAGGCCATTCGTGATCTGATTAAATTTCTTCGACGCGACGGTGATGACCACGAAATTCGTCGTTTCCTAGGAGCGGCAAATATCGTCGAGACTGACTTATTACCCATACTAATAGAATACGCAAACAAATCTGAAATGTTTGACCTGATTATACGTCTGCTGGTCAATCTTACTACGCCCGCGTTATTAATTTACAATGAACAGTTACCGGCAGATAAAGTTCCAAGACAATATTACTTACAATTAGAGTTGCACTTACAAAAATACAAACGAGCCTTTACGAATATCAAAGTCTGGAAAATCATAGCAAATAAACTGGCTGAAGTTATACAAGCGGTAAATACTTTATTAAGATTATTTGCTATATATATGTTTTATTACTTATAATTTTTGGCAATAGGAGTATCATGAAAAGGGAGAAGAAAAAGTATTGTCCACTGTGAGACTTCTTATACTTGTTCGCAATATACTTCATGTACCCGCAGATAACGATGCCGAGTGTAGACCAGACAATGATGCCAATTTACATGATCAAGTAAATTAATTCAAACAATTATTTTAAATATTATAATAACCAATTTTTAGGTTATATGGGCAATGCATCAAAGTCAACTCATTGATATAATTATGTATATAGCGTGTTCGGAGAATGAACAGCAATACTATTTGCACGCTTTAGAAGTAAGTAATCAAACCAATTATTTCGCCACCTATTTATTAATTATTTATCTCTAGATTATTTCACTTATGCTTCGAGATCAAAATGCTACAGAACTTGCAACTGCATCAGTCAACCGCTCTGAAACTGATAAACAAAGAGATGAACAAGAACTTAAAATAGTGTTGGAAAAAGAACGACAAGAAAAAATTGAAAAGTCCAAAAAGTACAGTGGATCACGCCATTCAAAATTTGGTGGTCGTTATGTTGTTTCCGGAATGAAATCAATTGGTGAAAACGATATGGTCGTTTCATCAATGACTTCTAATGTTAATAAAGCTTTTGATCGCTATAAGGTTTATCATGACTATATTGATTATAATATATTGTTTATTCAATTGTTATATATATGTATAATATTTGTATTGTTTTTAGAATCGTCTTAAAACCCCACGTAACAGAATGCCTCTAAAAGATACAATTACTGACCGAAAATCTGCATTTAGTGTAAGACTCTTCTTAAAAGAATTTTGCATTGAATTTTTACATGGAGCATATAATACCTTTATGAAACATATCCGAGTAAGTATTTATATTTTTATTCAATTTTTTTCTTTACAATTTCGATTAAATAATTTTTTTTTAAATAATGTCTTTATTAGGAAATTTTAGTACGATCTAAAGGCCAACCTAATGATGAGTCATATTACTTTTGGTCTATACAATTTTTTATGGAATTCAATCGCAATAATATATTTGAAATTAAATTAGTTAGGTAATATTTTGTATTACCATTATTTATTGAGTTATCTAGTTATTTGACAATACTTTAATTTGTTCTTAGTGAAACTATGTCGTTGCATATATTTCATTTTGTTCAAGAGCGCATTGAAGAGATCCGTCTAAAATTGATTACTGATAAGAAAAAAATTCCACTGTGGTCTAAACGCATGCATTTAGGACTTAAAGCGTATAAAGTATACATACTCTTTTATTATATACTATAGACTATTATAACTATTATAATAATATTTTTTATTAAGGAATTAATGGAAACACTCTTATTAATGTACCAAAGTAAAGAGTCTACGCTGCAATCCAGTGCTCGAACCATTTTGACAAATTTATTCTACGTGGTGGAATATAGAGACCTATTACTAAGTTTATTAAATTTTTATGATGAAATTAAATTCTCACGGTAATTTTCAAAATTTTTTATATTTATTAAAGGCTGTACCTTCTAATCAAAGTTTCATATTATAGAATGTACTTAAAGGATCTTATTGAAACCAATCATGTTTTCATGAAATTATTAGAAGATCTAGGAAAAAGACAGCGTAATTTGGTTGTACAGAAAATAACCAGAGTAAATAAAAACAAAAAAAGTTCTAAAAGTATATCTATTTAATATATAAACAATTGCATGTCTTCTACACAGAGTGATCACTTCTCGATAAGATACTCATCTTTGAAAGTTGGGATGGATCGAACCCTGATTAATGACATCAAACATAACCCCAACTGAACTTTTACAATATTTTTCGAACTTGAACCGAACCAAACTTTGATAACATTTTTTTGAACCAAAACAGAACTGAACTTTTATATTTTTTAGTCGAACTTGAACTTGATTTTTTTTCATTTAGATATAAAATGTAAATCAACCATAGTTACAATTATTTTTATTTTTAAGTTGTATGTACGACAAAAAGTAATATAATAAAATTTATAATATTCTGTAAAACTTGCAAACTGTAGTATTTTATAGATGTAAATGAATGAACAAATGGAATATTGCTGCTTATAGGTTTTCTAAATTAAAAATAAATTGTTCGCATTTCATGAAAATACTCATAGTTGAAATATAAAAGGTAAAGACAAAATAGCAACATAAATTTGAATTTGAACTTTAAACTGTCATAATCAGTTAGATTTTGAACAGTATTATATACTAAATAGTTCAGTTTAAAATTTTTTCATTGCAGGTTTAAATTTCGACCTATCGCTATTTGAAAGTATTAACTTTTTTAGAATTTTTTTTTTTTTTGAGCAATTTATGAATCAAGCCACTTTAAAATGTTACATTTTCATTAATTTTTGTCACTCTTTTTTTAGTGAAGAAACCACTACTCAGTTTTAATTTTTAAATAGCAACCAATATTAAAAACTCAGTAAATATATAAGTTTAAGTTGAAATCAATATTGCTGTTGAAATTTTTAGTTTCTGTCAACCTGTTGACGTGATATTCCACTCTTTTAAATTTGCCATTTTGTATTTAAAAAGAGAGTAGTGGAGCATTACTCAAACACCATGCATTCATGTGTTACACAAATGATGCTTTCTTTCTATGCTATCTTAAGAGGACACTACACCCACATCTACTGTCTCAGTTCAATTACCGGGCCACATACAAAAATAATGCTTGCATAGACTAAGTAAAACTAGCTTAATTTTCAGTTTAGGGTAAAATTACCTATTATAAAATTTAAAGAGAACATTATTTCAGAGGATTTTTTCAAATTATGAACTATTAAAAAATTTACAATTATTAAAAACTAAAAAAAAAAAAGTATTTATGCCTTTTATATTGAGTATATTTAGAATAATACAACCCGGTGAGGTTCTGTCCAAAATATTCTCTATAAATTTCATAATAGGTATTTTTATTCTGAAATAAAAATTAAGCTTTTTATTAAAATAAATAAAATATTTAAAAAATTAACTAAGTAATTTTACTTAGTCTGGGTAAGCATTGTTTATGCATATTGCTCGGTAGTTTGACTGAAACAGTAGTGTGGTTGTGGTGTTCTCTTAAAAGTTTAATATTATAATTACCCTAAACAGAAAGGTGACAAAAAGTAACATTATTGTAAAATTTAAAGTGGCTTATTTCATGAATTGTCCAAAATAAAATTCTAAAAAAATTCATACTTCATCAAAGTAGATTAATATTGAGGATTGATCACCTTGTATCATATTATACTTTTGTTGTATTTATTTATTGAATTATATGTAGAAACTAAAACTGCCAACAAAGTTTCACCAGAAGATGATGATACAGTCTGGACTAATATCAGTCCAGATCTTAAAGAAACTATTCTGTTCCATGAACTAGTTGTTGATTCTATTAATGCAAGACCTTATGATCCTGTATCAGAAGTATCAATGGAAGATCAAAAGTATTTTTTTAAATTTTTTTTTATTTTTAACTAATATTACAATTATTGGGTTTGTTTAGAGTTGAAGCTATGCATCGTATAAAGATGCATATAAAACACAAACGTTTAGAAGAAGCTGTAAAGTTGCTGAGAGCATCTAGGTAAAAAAAAAACTGGCCTAAATAATGTTTAGTAACAATGCTTATTTTAAAATTTTTCTTTTTATTAGATGTATGTTTTTGAAGCACTAAATCAAAAATGTTTGATAAAATGGTCACTTATATACTATTTAAAGAGTTATACCTAGAATGAGAGAGCCAATACTTGGGCTTATATTAAGACCAAATTATATGTTTTTTTTTTCTAACAATATTGTTGTCTTTGTCTTTGTTGTATTCAACTTATCTCTTTCCCTATTAATGGATCTATGGGGCCCAACTTAATGCTTTTAATTCTAACAATTGTGGCCCTCATACACATCTTTCTGCTATCCGTTTATTTTTTTAAGAGTTAATGTTTAATACATATTGAAAATGATCATGGGTACTAAACTATATTTGTTACCAAAAAGGTTAATTAGTTTAATCGTATTCAAATACAATTTGTTTTTACTTTTTTAAAGGCTTAGAAATTTTCAAAAAAAACAATTTAGTTTTATTAATATTATCTACTTTTTAGTGTATATTACATTTGATTACTGAAATATGTATATGTTTAGAGAAGTTTGGCCTGAAAATGATGTTTTTGGGAAACCACGACTAAGTAGTGATGAAGAATTAGATATTTTGAAAGAGATATTCTTTGCTGATCTTGGAATACCTATGACAGGTATAATTTAAAAATATAAATATTTGTAAATAATATAGAACGAAATTGGTTTGTCATAAAAATGTCATTTGTAATTTAAGATGGTGACGAAAACATGACAGAATCTAATAATCCAAATGATAACGAAAATGATGCAACTGATGGTATATACAAATTATATTTTATTTTTTATACATTTAATTATATTGTTTAATATTTGTATTATCATTATTATTATTATTATTATGTATAAGCTTTGTTCATTTCAAAAAGTTAGTATTTACTATATAATGTAGAAGCCATTGTTACTAGATTTTGTGAATATTTGTTAATGTTAAATAAACTCTTAATTAGTTACAAAAATTAATCTTTATTCATTAACCAATTCATTAATTTTTTAAGATGAAGAAGATGAAGAAAATGCTGATCAAATAAGAATAGAAGAAAATAATTTTGAATTTATAGATTTTGTTAAAAAGTGAGATTTATTTTAAATAATTATTGTTTTAATAATTTATTAATTGTAATTTTAAAAGATTTGCAAAACCCAAAATTTTACAAGCATGCTGTCAACTCTTAAAAGATTTTGAAACCAATTCTACATATACCAATCATGTAGTCGTGAAACTTCTCCATCGTATTACATTTGATTGCAAGTATAGTGCATTAATGTTCCAAGCTTCTGTATTTCGTATTTTTCAAAAGATATTTTCATCCAAAAATCCACATCATAAAGTAATAAAATTGATTAGTAAGAAAACTTTTAACTTGAAATGTAAATAATATTTTAGGAACTCAAACATTTTGCAATATTCATTATAAGAAAATTCACAGACGCTACAAAAAAAAACAATAAAGTATTTGTGGAATTATTGTTCTGGAAAGATTTAAAAACAGCTTATGAAATTGAGGAAGGATATGATACAAATCCAAAAGAGGTATCTACTAATTGGACAGAGGAACAAGAAGATGAATTACATAGATTACATGAAGAATATCTACAAAATATGCCTGATGAAGGTAATAGTAAATATTCAAATCAAAATATCTTAAATAGTAGTATAATGTAAATTATGTTTAACTTAGATGAACTTACTTGGATCTGTAAAAATTTAATTAAACAAGACCGTTCAAGAAAAAGTGTTTCTAAAAAACTCAAATCAATTGGAATTATTTGTAAAAATGTAAGAATATTTTTTTAACATTTTATGGATTTGTAATTTTGTAAATCATGTACTTTTCAGAAACAAAAAATAGTAAATAGAGAATTTTCTGAAGCCGAGATTGTACAAATTACACAGTTATTTCAAGAATTCAGAGAAACAAACAATCCAATAAGCTTTATTATGGAAAAATTGGACGTTTTGCGTCCAAAAAAACTCATAATTGATAAAATAGTTGAGTTGGGATTAGTTAGAGATCGAAAAGAACTTTGGAAGAAAAACTCCAAGAAAGCTAATAAGTGTAAATATTATTGATTATTCTGTTTTCCAAACAATTAACTATTATTATTATAGATGTAACTGATAATAGTTCAAGCAATGAAAGTGATGAATCTGACGACGGCAGTGAAATAGTTTCCACTCACCATAGTTTAACATCTGTTTATGTATTTAATGCTATTAAAAAAGTGATTGACAAAGATATGAAGCCAGCTCTGTTGTGGTTGATTGAAAGCTTGGATGAGGCAGCAGAAGATTTGGATGTTGATGAATCTGATATACCTTTATTACCATTAACAGATGAATGTATGGCTGCAGTTAATGATACCGATTTTCAAGATGCAATGATAATATTAGGCATCCACAAACCTTCAGGTGTTCAGGTAATATATTTAAATTTGTAATATATGTCTAACTACATTATTCAAACAATACAATTTTATCTGCCTTTAAAACAAAAAACTAACATAATTTATGTTTAAGGAAATTTATTGGCGTATACCAGGTACATGGCAGGCAAATGATATCCGCCAACGATCTATAACTATAAAAAATATAATAGAAGGAAATTTTGTGGCTGATGTAATTACAACGCGTCAAGTAGATGACAGTAGTGATGAAGAAGTAGAAGCAACATTTGATAGAATAAGAAAGTCTCTTATTCAAAACAATGTAAATAACAATACAGATGTTGGAAATAAAACCGTAAAAACAAAAACCCCATCAGTTTTTCAAGAATCACACAATGAAAAAAACACTGGATTAAATAAGAAAATTAGCCTCAATAAAAGAAAATTTTTATTAGAAGATAGTGATGAAGAAAACGAAATTACTCTTATTAAAAAGAAAGTACCACTCGAGAATGACAAAGAGGATAATAGTGATTTAGAGAATAACATTATTTCAATGAAAAATAAAAGACCATTAGATGATAGTGACGACGAAAATATTATTCATGATAATATAAGATCTCAATTTCAGGAAAATAGTATAGAGAATGATGAGATAGAAAGTAATATTGTTTTAATGAAAAAGAAGAAAATGTTTTTAGAAGATAGTGACGAAGAAGATACCAGTCGTGATGATATAGGATCTCAAGCAAACAAAATTAGTGTAGAAAATGATGAGTTATTAGGAAATACAGTTTTATTGGATAAGAAAAAAGTATTGTTAGAGGAGAGTGTTGAAGATGTTTATGATAATAATATGTGTGCTCAATTAGACAAGGAATCTGTCGAAGAAATTGAAAATGATAAAATAAAACCATCATTGGAAAACAGTGATTCAGATGAGGAAGTTGGTTCAGTTGTAAAAAAAATCAAACCTTTTTTTAATGATGACAGCGACTAAATGTATCAATTAATATATTTTATTTTCATAAGTACACAATAATATTGAAATAATAACAATTTTTTAAACAAATTGTATGCAATATATATAATATAATGTAAGCTATTGTTAATTACCAAAATTCCCTATTGTGTCTGGTGTATTATTATATTATTACTTTTAAATGTATTTATTTTAATTATATCCTATGTATATATATATATATATATATATAAAATATCTATTGTTTCTGGTGGTATTTGAATAGTACATACAAGTTATAGTATAAGAAGAATACAATAATATATTTTTTATAGAGTACAAGAATATATCTTCTACATAGCTTTTTTTGTTGGCAAACAATCCAAAGAAGTTTTGGCTAAGAAATTGAATCACACTAGATACAGTTAGTGGTGATCATAATTTATTTCATTACTAACAAAAATTTTTTTTTAATTGTTTATATATAATAGAAAATTTAATAAAGTGCATATTCTCAGATTTAATTACAAAATAATAATAGCATTATAGTATCATTTATATTTCTATACTAGATGTTCTTGGACTAACTGGTAATTCCAACTGGTACTTGTATCGATTTGACCAGACATTCATCTCGAAATTAAGTATTATGGAATAGTGTTTACTTGCATATCAGGTATGTTAATCAATGGAATGAGACATGGAAATTGACCAGTTTGAAAATAATCGGTTTTATTCAGTGGTTAAAGTAGAGGGGGACATTTGTACTCTTCTTGTTTAAGGTAAAATTATCATTCCCTTTCAAAATCTGGGTAATATTTTACTTATTGTCAGATATATTTAATGAGATTTAACAAATTTTGATAAGTTATATTAATAAATAATTCTTTAATTCCTACACCTATTAGATTATACATAATCAAGATTATTATAAGTGCTGTTACCACCCTCTGTAGCACTCTTGTCAAATTTAGCATGCTGTACAAATAGAAAGAGCTTCTCCCCCTTCAAAATACATTCAGGCTCCTAAAGCAAGTAATCATTAGGTAAATACTCCATAATTAACCGAATATTTTTACAAACTTCACTTTTTGTTACAAGCGCCATCCAACTTAACGGTGAAAATGGTATCACTAAAAATAGTAGATTCCAAAGTGTATTTTGGTATATTATTTTTATGCAAATACTTGCTAATTAATCCTATCAAATTAGGAAAAATTTATGAACTAATTTATATAAATAATAGAAATTCCTCGAAAAAGCTGAATATTTTAGTACATACTTCGTTCATGCATTACTAATCTACAAAGGTACCTACTCAATCCTGAATCCATCCCTTGTTGATGTAGTCCTAATATTTCCTAACATTTCTGTTTGACTAAAACAGTTTTTAATTTTATTCACCAAATAAAAACTAAAGCTTTAAACCCAAGAAAAGCTAAAAATATGTAGGCACCAACACAAAATAGACCTGCAAGGGCCAGGTCAACCTGCTCCGGTCCTCGAAAAGCTCGGACTGTACTACCCTCATCAGTTGTTCTTGTTTCTTTTTTCCTAAACTCACTGCACCTATATAACCTATATAGTATATAGGTACGCAATAATATAAGAACCTTAAGCCTTGACTTAAAAGATTAAAGGTATCTATTTATGCTATTTAATCATGTATTCTGATTTGGTATTTGAGTATTTTAGATTAGTCACTGAAATTAACTATCACTGGATATCTCATATTAAGTATTGATAATAATGTTATATCAAGAACAGACGACAGAAAATGAGTGTAATGTTGTTGAGAATACTTAAGTGGATAAATGTAGTTACTAGAGAAGATAGAATAAGGACCGTGTAGGTACTTACACAGGAGGTGGCTTTAATATTGAACTATATGATGTATATATAATGGGAAGGAACAGTTTTACTATTGTTAAAAAATTGGCTACATAATAATTTTTGCTGGTATTCATGTTCTAGGATTCAAGTTAGAATGAAAACGAAGGAAATATTTTCTACCGAAAATCTTGCTCCATATTTCAAATGTAGCATCTTATTATTTAAAAGAAAATTATGTTTAGTTTGTATGTATGGTAGTCGTTTTATGATGATTCGTTGTATTTTTTTTCAAAATTGTAGAAAATGTTGAGAAAAACATAGGAAATATTGCAAAGTTTACGAGAATAACAACAGTTTCATTATTTTCTGTTTTGTTTTTGTAGTTATTCTGTTAAAAATAATCGTTCACACTTGAAATTTTCACAGAATAAGTACTTATAATGGGTAGCTTTTTATAGACGTGGTACACTTTAAAAACGTTCTGTCGATTTTTGAGCTATTCGTAGGTATATTTATAAGGAAGGTAGGTACTATATAGATAAAATAGTTTAACTGAAGAGGAATGCTTGGAAATTTAACACTAGGATCATTATAAGTTGTATTGGTTGTACTGGTTATAAAAAGAAAAAGAAAACAAAAATAATTAAAAGTAATATAGTTATTATTTTTTTTTTGTCAGCGTTTTAAGACAAAATGTTGATGAAAATCATAAAAATTAAGTCATTTCAAATTACTGATTTTAGAAAAAAAATAAAATAAATACTTTTAGGTAACTCTACAATAAAATCTACTACAATTTAGTTGAAAACATTAGGTACCTGCCTACAAATACATATATATTGTTATTATATACAATAGAAATAATTTCCAAAACTTCAAAGTTAATATAAATTATATTACCCAATTATTCTTGAAATAAACGGCTTAATAATAATAATGTGTGTTTGCACAAAGTTTTTTATTTAATCACTTTAAAATTATGTATATAACTTTAATCTTAATGCTAATGTGAAGAATTTAGCTATCTCTTTTTTTTTTTTTTTATTCATATTTTCTGTTAGTGCCACGATCAAAGACACACCGGTTGGCGTCGCCCAATGGGCTACGGAATTGTGACAACGATATTACTTGGCTGATCAAACAATTCTGTAGCGCTCGTAGATCGCAGCAGTGGCGGTATACGGGGGGTGTGGGGGGGTTAAGGAGAGGGCAAGCGGTGCGGGTGCCCCGCTAATTATGTGTTCTGAATGTTACTCAATCCATAAATAATTATAAATCACAATAATATCGTCCGGATAGTAGGCGCGCGAACTGCGACCCGCGCAGCCGTGCAGTTTTCTCGGAACGCGGGTTGTAATAGATGAAAACCAAGGTGGTTGGTGCCAATTACGAACGGCTTAAAAACACTCGAGACACACGTCATCGGCACTGGACGTGGGTATCGCCGATTCTTTGAGCCGCAATGAGACGATTGATCCGTTTGCATCGAGGAAAGAAAAAGACGTTCAAGTAATATATTATTTATCATCAGTTGTATTGCAATGACTTATGTTTATTTGTTTGTTTAAAACAAATGTATACTTGTTATATCGTATGTGTGTCACCGTGCTCAATAAAATAGAAATAACAATTAGTAAAACATTGTTTGTAGGCGTTTGTTAAGTAAGTTTACCTACTCATTTTGTGTCCAATGTAAACATACAAATTAGATTTTATCAGTTTATAATGTATAGGCACAAATTCGGATTTCTAACAAGACCTTAGAGTTTACAAAATCATATGAAAATTATGTAAGCCCGTTAGAAAATAAAATAAATAAATACAGAATTATATTTATATGCGTGGGGGGACCCCGTAAAATTTCGCACCGGACCCCGAAATCTGTCGGGCCGGCACTGGAATATTTATGCACCACATTATATCGCCATCGTAGTTCGCAAAAATATGTTTGTGAATGTGAAATTTCAAATCCATTAGTGATTACGATTTATGATTTCAGTCACAACCATAGATGATAACATCAATCAGTATAGAATGATAAACCAACAAAATAATTACTGTGTATTCGCTGATTCCTTGTCCAGATACCCACGTGTTTTAAAATGTATTCGTTTTTAAAATGGTATTGATACATTATAGATTTCTACCATTTAACCTTTGATGGAATTTTATTTAATAGGTACACGAAAAGGGTCTACTTCTAGTCGCCTCACAATAGGCGGTTAACGAACGTATAAGTGGTTCATAAAACGATTCAATAATGTTCAAACAGAATGGATAATTATGATTAGATTTGTTTAGATCACGATATAATATTATGTTGGTTGTTACTTAATAATAACCTATCAGCCAGCATTGGATTTTAGATTTATATTATGCAAACTCGTAATTCATGATTTTTGTGCATTTTATAAGATTGTTCGACTAATATTGAACAATAAGTCCCTTGTGTAACGATTACTGTCGTTAGCCGAGGTTCAATATTCTTCGTACGATTTTATTTTTACAAATAGTTCTTAAGTGATTTTAAATTTTCTAATATGTTTTTATAATGGATCAAATTATATGAGGGAAAAGATTACTGAAAAAAGCAATGGGGTACAATAAGGAACGGTGGAATTGTGCGGTTAAAATATTCAAAGCTTTTCAAAAAGTAGATGAATGTGATTATAGGTAATATCGAAAAAATAATTAACTGAACCGTTATAGACATTATCTGAATAAGTACTGTTTTTTTATTGATCAATTAAATTACCATTTTTAATATGATTATAAACATTATATTAAATTTAGTTTAGTTTATGAACCACTACTTTATTCAACATAGGATGCGACTCAAGTATAATTATGAATTACCAAACTGTCGAAGGGGAATACTGTATGTAAACATTATTATTTACAGTAAAGTAGGAGACACCTCGTATGCACCGACAGTAGCTGCTACCGTCCATATTATCTAAGAAACGGAAATTTTCCATACTTACCCATATGTTCTAGGCTATAGTGTTTTGTTAATAATGTAGGTAAATTTGCCCGCTTTATAGGGTCCACTAGTAATAAATGATCGGAGAAAATTCGGAGGGTTATTAATGAATGCAAGCACCGCTTGGTGTATTATTGCTGATTGTATATGTGAGGCTTTTATATAAACAAAACAAACTACTATGATTATTCGTATTGGAGCAGTTGAAGATAAAACAAGATAAAACAACATTTTATAATTTTAAGAACAGTACTAAATATGTTGTTTTTAATCCTCAAAATATATTCAAGAGTGAATCACAACGTACGAGATCACAAAGTTTAATTATATATACCAGTGAAAAATTAGTCGGTTATCATTCACGTTTAACCGACCGTTTAAAAACACAGTGTATTTTTTAATAATCAAATATGGCTCCANATGCCAAAAATGTTGTTTTTTATCCTCAAAATATAATTAAGAGCGAATCACAACGTACTAGATCACTAAGTTTCAGTATATATACCAGTGAAAAATTAGTCGGTTATCATTCACGTTTAACCGACCGTTATAAACACAGTGTATTTTTAAATAATCAAATATGGCTCCACCGTCTAAATCAGCAGGCAAAGCGATGAAGAAGTCCGGCAAGGCTCAGAAAAACATCACTAAGTCCGACAAGAAGCGCAAGCCCAAGAGAAAAGAATCCTACGGTATCTACATCTACAAAGTATTGAAGCAAGTGCACCCTGATACCGGTGTTTCGTCGAAAGCCATGAGTATCATGAACAGTTTCGTCAACGACATTTTTGAACGCATCGCTTCCGAATCCAGTCGTTTGACCCATTACAACAAGCGTTCCACAATTACTAGTCGGGAAATCCAGACGGCCGTTCGTTTATTATTGCCCGGTGAATTGGCCAAGCACGCTGTTAGTGAAGGCACTAAAGCCGTGANCTTAAGCATTTATAGACTTCATAATACCACCACTATTTTAGAATTTCATACTCCTTAATTTAGGGATGAGAATAAATTTAATTTTGATGATGTCACATACAAGCTAATAAAGTTAATTTCTATATTATTAGAAGGTTAATTGTGTCGATATACTTAGTTCTATGTTTTTACGTTCCAATTTTTTAAAATAAGTGCATTTTATAGAAAAACATTTTAATTTGAATGGTTTGGACAATGATGGCCATTGTCTAAACTATCTATATGGTTATACTTTACAATATGACTATTTATTCTTATCTTAAGTATAACTGCTCTAAACTCGTTAAGTTTGGACGTTGATCTTTAGTTGAATGAACATACAAACTGAAACGGACGCTTTTGGTGTAAGGCTGGGCGCACACCTGAAGAGCAAAACTGCTCCGAGCAGCTCGGAACATTTTGGAACAAATTCATTTCACACTGGCAAAACAGAACAGAACAAGACACCAGTCGTCAAGATGAGTTCTGACCAAGACAACGTCGTTGTGCCGCTTATGTGGCAATTTTTATTAAATTGCGAAAGTAGCAAAAACAAACTTTGGATGCATGAAATAAATAAAAAAAAAACTGTTAGAAAATAATCTTGAATCAATCTATTGCTATGATCTTTGTCACGATAATCATAAATAGATTTTCTGCAAAATACTGCATTTATTAATTTTTCTGGATCGCACGCCACGTTTAATTAATATGATATCATTTTTATATTAAAATAACGTGTTCACACGGTGTTCGGTAGTGTACTAGTCGTAAAATAAACAAGTGACTTTGGTTTTCGTATTTTGCTCGGAGCAAAAATAGAACCGGACCGATCAAGACCGAACATGTTTTGTTTTGCATTGTCGTGTGATGTAGACTGATTAGTGTGCGCGCGTCAATTACTGTACACGTGTTCTAATGATGTCCAAACGGCTCCGAGCTGATCCGAGCTGCTCGGAGCAGTTTTGCTCTAAAGGTGTGCGCCCAGCCTAATGGTTGCGAACCCCCGCTTACCCTGATTGAACCAAAACTGCTCGTCTTTGTAGTATATGACTTTTGCAGTTTATTCGGCTCACTACTTAATTGATTCGAATCTACCTATTGATTGGCAATACGTGGGGCTCCTGTTACAGTATGTACGTTTATTTTTTGTATAGCTTCAATTCTACGTCAATTTCAATCTAAAATTTAATTGATTCCAGACTGTAGTCACATGTAGAAGGGTAGGGCAAATGCACAACTTCAGAATTGTGAGTTTTGACTAAATAGGGAGTTTTGAGCTCGTTTCGGGAACCCTGCCTCTATATTTATTGTATATGATGAAATAACGATGATTTTTTTTTTTTAAATATCTTCATTTAAAGTATCTGACGAGTTTGATGAAAAAGCAAGGTTCATTCGACTTTGCTAAATAAAATATAAGACCATTATGCCACACTTTATCTACGGATTTTCCTATGTTTACCGTTATTATGCTACGTAAAAATCTTTTTCGTTAACTTTAAAGATTATCTTGTTCTGTCTTGAAAATATGTGTTCATCTGATCTTAGTTCTATGTATCTTTCAAGATTTGTCGACCATAATGAATACTTTAACATACATTATAATATTAATACTTTTATTTTTAATAATAAATTCTATTATTATGAAATAACGAAAATAATCATTTAAATTATTATTTATGAAATATAATCTGGTCATAAAAAGACTTTTTTCTTTGAAAAGAAATTAATGTTTCTTATTTTAATTATAATTATAATCAACAAATAGAGCGAAGAAGCCGAAGGTTTTGCAAAGCTATTTTTTTAAATTTTTTTTTCCATTTGTAGACAACATTTATACCAGATGTTATGCTTTGATTTTTAAATGTAGCACTTTTTCTGAAAGGAAATATGACTTAGAAGGTACTTTAAGGAGGTCATTTTTTGATTTTCCCGGGAGTTTACTCAACATATGGGAAAATCCGTGAAAAACACCAGAAAAATGAAAAATCGGAACAATATTAAACAATTATTATTTAAGAAAATATAATGCCTATTTATTTTACCATAATATGACCTAAATATTGTTGATAATGCATCACTTTCAACTGAACTCTGTTAAGAATTGTTCTTTTATAAACAATGGGTTATCCTTGCTTACAGATAAACATTAAACTCCCTTCTGTATCCTAATTTCCCAATTTCCCACCTACAACAGTGGCTTCACCCACGTGCAAAGTATTTCAGTCTTTTCTATTATTTATTTTTTAATCAAAAATTATATTATTTTTAACTTATTTATATTTGTAGTTTTTAAAAACTAGTATACACATAAATAATGGAAACAAAAAATTAAATAATAAAAAAAAATCTCTTCACTTCTTCAGTTCAAGATACTATTAGCATTAAATAATACATT